CCAATTACTTTATCTTAGCATCGTGACTTAAGATCTACACGATATTAGAGTGTGGATAATCGCTTTGCTTGCAACGTCCATAAGCGTTCTGATGCTCCAAACAGCTATGGCAAACAACTCGCAGAACGTACAAAGTGCCAATGCACTTTCTCGTTTGACAGATTTCGGATAATTGCTCGAGTCCTATTCTCAAGCCTTGAAGTTATTTTATGCTCGTATACTTATCGCATGGATTTTAGTAATAATAACAATCAAAAAATTTTTAACTTCTGCGTTACTTGCTTAAGCAAGTGATTGTTGCTCATATTAAATCTCAAGCTCAAAAGTCCCGGATCTTGCGTGCTGCTGGAATAAATATGTCATTTAAAAATCCGTGAGCTACCTTCTATTTTTTGATTAATTCTCATTGATTCTTCGGTGAAATTATTTAATAGCCAATGAGTTATCTAATAACTATCTAATAACTAATGAGAATGGTGAATGCTCATTACTCATTACTTATGCTTATTTACTTGTGCTATTTCCTTGAAGCTATAGCTATTTTCCTTTCTTAAAATGTTCACTCATTTATGCAGTCCAATCATTTAATTTAGTTCACACTTCTCTTCTAATTTTGATCTTCTAATTTGATCTTCATTTTTCGGTGATTTCTTTTTAAACTCTATTTTTACTATTGTTCGCTTTTTCTTTCACTCGATATCTTCTCGATATCTTTTTATCTTAAAAAACTTTTATTAACCTACTATATTATAATTATAAGAAGCGTTGCATTATAAGTCGTCAATATCAAATTTGAAATTTGGATAGGCCCTGCAGTTTTATTTTCGAGTGAATCTCTGGCAAAAGAATCTAGGCAGCCAAACCAGATGTGATGAATGAATGCTGTTAGAAAAAAAAGGATGTTACTATAAGTTTTATAACGTTAAATTTTTTAAAGTCATTTTTGAATTGTCCTTCAAATTTAATAAAACTTTTTACTAAATAATACGCATTATTAAAATTGATAAAATATATATTGAAGTTCAATTAAAAAGTATTATTTGAAACAAAAAAATATATAAAAATATATAGAGTGCCATTTTTAATTTCACTTTTTCCTTTAAATCTCCCTTTTCACCAAACATTAATACACCAATGCCAACATCCTTAATGAGTTGGGAGATTTTTTTACGGCGAACTAATTTCTTCTAACTTCCAACCATTCATTTAAAAAATTCTGGAAAGTGGAAAAATTCTGGAAAAATTCGAGGAATTCAGGAAAAAACTGGTATGAAAAATTGCGTAAATTGTGAATTGAAGCTGTGCATAGAAAGATGAAAGGTTCAGTTCTTGCTACAACATAGCAAACATATCATTAAGAATAATAGTGGCGCTGGCGAGTACTTCTACCGTTAAGTGAATCCTTTGCAAAAATGTATGGTTATAATCAGTGAAGCTAACCTAACTAAGGATGATTCTAAGTGCTTTTATCTGCTTATGTATTTATATGATCAACGTTCTTCAAATATGTCTAATTTCCTGATAAATCCCAATTTTCAGCTTTCAATATGATAACGCTATAAGAAAACATCCAGCGGTGAAAATTCGCACGAAATATTTTTCATTCGAACAATTCTTCTTCTTCTTCTCGCTCTCACAACTAACGACTAGACTAACTGCGCTGGCCAGAAAGGTGAGACATTTAAATAATTGTAGTTGGAATTTAATCCCATTAACCAAAAATAAATCAAGCAATTTTGCGAAATGTTTATTTTCAGCAAAAGAGGAAAAGTCCTAAAATTTCATTGAAAATTGATTTTTCTAATGTTATCAGATTAAGCGAATCGTTGTTTTTTCGTTCGCAACAAATGCAAAACCGGTAATTGCGCAATGAATTTCGAATAATTCGTATTTCTTTTTTTATTTTTTTATTTGAGAAATGTTTTTCATTTTCTTTTAAAGAAATTTATTTTTATTCGAATAAAACTCTAAATTTTATTCCATGAAAATATTGCACAAAAAAAAAAATTTCAAAAAATTTCAAAGAATTGATAAAACGATAAGAATTTTTATATTATTTTATTAATAATCGTTATTCCTATAAATTTATTGTATTATCCTTCATACTGTCTCGTATTTCAAAAGCGCTAATGGTAAATAACATATTTCATATTTCATATTTCATCAATTTTATTCCCATTCCATACGAACGCTTTTTAAATGCAAAGAGCATAAATTTTGAAGCTAAATGCAGCCTTTCCCGTATTTTTATCTTCAAATAACGAAGGGTCTGTAACGAAGGGCTGTCACCCTTATGACCAGAGAAACGAACCAAACCAGAACTGGTAAGTGATGAATAGAATGTAAGTAATAGAAAAAGAAGAAATGTTCACCTGCTTCGCACGATTTCCATACGAATTAAAAAATATCATAAAAGATTTCTGATTTTCTAAAATTCAACTCGAAATAATTGTTAAATAATTGTTTATGTTTTATTTTAATTTTATTTTACATTTTAAAAATTTAAAACTTTCATCAAATTCACTTCAGTTTTATTTACTATTTTATTTTATAATCATTCATTCATTTAAATAAAAAAAAAGCCAATATTTTCCAAGTTTTTCCACTTATTCAGCTCTATTCGAATAGAATGCATTATAGCGGTAAATAAAAATCACAAATCTGAAATTTCGGAACTCAAGTTGCAGGAATGGTAACCGATTTATTTTCGACCACCTCTCCTGAACATTCCACTGAACAGGCTGGCGCCTCCTTGCATATTAGCAAATGAGTTTAATTTTAATCTCGAGAGGGATTGAATTTTGCATGACATTGCTTGAAAATTAACCCACATGCACGTAAATTTTTTTTCAAAATAATAAAAGGCGCAAAACTTCTCTTTAGAATTTCTCGATCTGTCTTATTTTGTTTTGTATTATTATATTTATAATTTATATCAAGGTTATTGGTGTGGAAATTTTAATTTTCCTTTTGAAAATTTTCTTGCGTTCAGCTAAAATTTATCAATAACAAACGTTTGAAAATTTCTTATAGCTCGTCGAGCGAATGAATACACTTAGCAATTGGTCTTTTTTCCTATTTAAGTATCAATTTATTAAAATTTACATCGTAGGTATTTTAAATTTTCATTAATTTTCATTAATTTCGAAATAAAAAAGGTTATGGCATATTGTTTCAAGCTTGAGCATCATATAGGCTCGAATCTGATCGTCCTTCGGAGTAAATAGTGAAAACAACAGGGAAGCCGAGTGTTCAAGCTTGAGCATCATATAGGCTCGAATCTGATCGTCCTTCGGAATAAATAGTGAAAACAACAGGGAAGCCGAGTGCGCTTGGTGACTTATTTCTATTCTCTCAGGTGATCTGCCTGATAGCGAATAAAGTTTTTGAACGAAACAATGAGTGCCTAAAGAAAGATAAAGATTACCTTTAGTCCTGATCAAATTTCAGAATCTAAGATTTCAATCAACAAATAAGCATATTTGCCATTTCTTTTACTTATTTTATTTTTTTAAAAACTCCTATAGATCGTAGATGAATAGTTGTTCGATAAGAAGACTGAAAATTTTTGGAGCAAAAAAAATTTATTTTGTCAAAAAATTCGATGAAATTACACAAAGGGATAAAAATTTGAGTGAGTGAAGTATTTAGGATGGCACATATATTTGTATACTTGCATTTGTAAGACTAAGACGAGTTTGAGAAAAATCCCAGTTTCTTCCTTTTTTCTGATCCTTATGCTTTAAATTTTGAATTTTTATTTCCTATTTTTCCAACGAATTCCAGACTTCTGGTGAATTTTTGGAAGTATTTAGCTGTAGAAACCATCGCCTTTATTCCAGGGCAGGGAATTAAAATAGCTCTTGATTTCATTGATTCTATCAAGAAAAGATAGCCGAATAGAGATGTCCAAGTCACCATGTTAAAGCCAAAGATTCTCTCACTTGCTCTCGGATATAAGCAACTATTGAAGAGATTGAAATATTGAATCATCATGAAATATTCTGGAAACCTAGCAATAATATTCCAAAATTCTCCTTTTCTTCTCAAAATTATATCGATTTTTTGTAAAAAATATTCCGGAAAAGTGAATTTAAATAAAAAAATCTATGAATCACTGCGTAAACTATTCTACGTAGTTACTTAATAATTTTGGCTATATGCCTCCATAATTTACCGAATGGTCTTTTCCCCACTTTCGAAAGCTTTTAATCTTTTATTTCTAAGCGGCTTTATACTGTAATTTGGTATTTTCTTATATCGAAAAATTTTTAACTTGTCACTGCCATTTGGTTGACTTAAATTATTTCGCATCCAAAAAGTAAAAAATGCAAAAAAATGGCTTAATAATTGGCTCGAGACATATGTTGGAATTCGCCTCTATTTTAAATCAAAAAGAAGAGAAAAATATTTGACAAAATGATTCAAAGGATCTTTGTGAAATGTATGATCTCCTTTACAAAAAAGGGGAAAATATTCGTTGAAGATAGAAATTTCTTGCTCTATTGTTCTATTTGAAGTATAAAGCAAAGTAAGTAAGCGCTAACTAGCAGTTTTGTAAAGACAGCTTTGCTTTTGTTAGAGGCAAAATTCCTATGAGGACCTGTTGATGTTTCATGGGCCCTTATTCATGAATACCTTCATCAAAGTTGTTTTATAATTTACCATTTGGCGAAGAGAGGAGATGGGAACCAAGATGTATAGTGAGTTAGATTGTCGTGTTGGAAAGCAAGATTTCGGATCCGGAGAAGATTAAACCTAAGATTAAAGAATCCGAAAAAAGGATAAACCTGTGGTTATAAAATCCGAGTGATGCTGATGATCCATCTCCATTTCTAGCAACTCCTTGGCAAAAATTTCTAAACGGAAATGATGAGTGCTAACCATTTACTTATAGCTACTTTGGCTTTTATTTCTTTTATTTTGAGGATATTCCAATAAAAATGCTAAGGAGAAATACTTATTTAAAAATTGGTTTTTTCAGAATTTTTTTTGAAGAAATGGATGACAAACTAGCAACAATTCGAGACTTGTTTTTCGAGATCGACACAATCCATTCCTGTAGCCCATCCTCGTTTGTTGCATTAAGTGCCATACAAAATTTGATTGATGATATAATTCATGTCAGCTTTTTCAAATTTTGCCCAATTTCTCGCTTCAATTAAATCCATAATAATCGTTTTCTATATAGTCTTTACTCAAATTTTTGTAAATTGAAATTATGAAAAAATTTCACGAAATTGGAACATTCATTTCATTTCTAGATAATGATATTCTACATAATAGTTCATAATTTCGCCAATCTCTTACTTTGATTTCTTAAAAAATATTTTTTATATACTGTCAAATAATATACTGTCAAATATTTTTTATATATCTTACTTCTTTTTTTAGAAGTTGAGGTCAGTGCGAAAACTAATGAACGAAGCAACATCTCAGTCGCAATTATCGTCCCCAAATTTTGTTTATGGAAACGGCTCACAGATTTCGCCGTATTATTCGAAAATAACACTGATACCTCGTAAGCCATGCCACAGTTTTCTAATTTTTTTTTTTTACAAAAATGGCAAAAATTTTAAAAGTGACTAATCAAAAAGAAAAATATTAAAAGTATAAGTAAAAATATCAAAAGCATTAATAAAACTCATTAGAATGTGAAGAAATTAAGAAACTTCAAAACGGTTAATAACGGAAGTAATCTTGAATGCGGAAGGAAATGAAAATCCGACCGATTTGGCACGAAAAGCTTACAGCGATGAAAATTATGCGAAATGCATTCGAATTATTGAGAAGTTTATCGCTGAAGGTGATCAAAAAATTGATTGGTGAGTGGCTCAAAAAAGTTTTTTGATTCCATTTTCAATTAGTCCTAAGGATTCATCTGTCCTTCTTTCTTTAAGTGATTCCCTAATGAAGGAGTTTCATAGTAGCCAGTGGGACCATTAAATCTAGATATTTTATTCATTTCTTATGAGCTTAGTCTGTTTTATTATGTCTATTTTTTAAGCCATGGATCACTCTTTGTTATGGATATTTTCAGGATTCAGTCTTTTTCACTCTTGGGGATGAACTTTTCTATTATTCTCCATTATAAAGATAATGAAAATTTTCAGCGAAATTTTGAATCTTTGTCATAATTCATACAAAAAAATTGTGGATGAACTGTCAACAGAAAAGGAGCAAATAAAATTATGTGAATGGTGGCGACTCTTCCTTGGTCTTTTTTCGAAAAATTTAGTCTCTATTTTCAAGAAGACTGTTGCATTTTGTTTTCCTTTTCGCTAGAATATCATCTTCCGCTAATAACTACGTATTTTTACTGATTATACTGGATCCAGAAGGATGGTCAAAAATGTGGCGTTTTTGCATCTATTCTTCTGCTTTTATTTAGATAATGTTATCCTAAGCGAAATATCGAATAGCACCATGCTTCATCTTCACGATTGCCGTATTCAATGTCTTGAAAAGCGAAAGAGTTTAACAAGAAAAAGAGATGAAACGACAAGGTTTATCGAGAAGCTAATTAATATTAGAATAAAATCACACGAGGTCAAGAAATTAATAATTTCAATTCCTTGAACTGCAAAATATCCACTAGATAGAAGCAGTTTTCGTTTTTTCAGACAATTGAATCCGTTAGTTAATGGCTCGAAAGTCTTAAGAATAAGTCTTAAGTACTCATCATTTCTAGCTAGGCTACTTCGCTGCCTGTTAGTAAGGTCAGAAATTTTTGGCAGAAATTTATAGAAACATAGATGAGTGGGTTGTCCTCACCAGTGTAATTAGGAAAAAAGTTGACAGTAATTATGCCACAGCATTTCATACAAAAGCGATTTTCACCATATCGAAATTTAGTTATTTTTTCTTTTAAAATTTTTGCTTATCATTATTGTGTTGGAATTTTAGTTGTCGGTTATCGTCTATCGTCCATTCCATACCGACGGATTACGGAGGATTTTAAGCACATGTTTACTCATTTCAGAATATTTTATCAAATTTCCAGGTTTATTTTTGCTGACAAAGTTTTTCCCTCTGCTATTGAAATGTGATATTTAAAAGCAAGGTAAAAAATAAAATTTAGAGCTCGACTTGGTACCGCTTTATATAGAAGAAGGATTAGAATTCATACGGTATGCTCTCAACGATGCGAAACTTGATGCATTGAAGTATAGCGAAAAAATATATGATTCGACTTATTATGAGGTCATTTAATACACTTATTGGGTGAAAAATTTTTGAATATGAATGAATGAAAGTTTGAACAGTTCTTGTTCGAATGAAATATCAGAATGGTGGAGGATTAATAAACGATTTAATATATCATAAAATCCAGCTGCTGATAGTGTTGCTGCTGCCAGGCCACTCTTCGGCAAAAAATTCTAATTGAGATAACATTTAGCAGAGTGAACCGAATCAGAAAAGATGAGCGTTAGCCACTTTATAAATTTATTTCAGTGCGAAGAAATTATACGAAGCATTGAATTGCTGCTTGACAAACATGAAAACTATCGTAAAATAAATTCAGATATAGAAACAGATGAAATATTATGTTATTCGGATGAAAGTCGAGATATGCAGAATAATACAAACAACAATCAGCCCTGTTTTCACTGTAAACCTGGTGACAACACTAATGGAAGTAGTGAAATGGATGAACTAGTACGCCACGAAGCAAATGATCATGAAAATCAGTTGAATGAAATAGTCAAAAGTACGAAATTTCGACAGCAAAGAAACTGCATTATCACCAGATTTTAAAAAGCTCGCTAACTTTTAACCAGAACTTGTGGAAATCTATTTGTCCAAATTTTTCTTATCAAAAACAAATATATTCGTATAATTGAATATTTATTATATGTTTGATTCATCAAGATATTTATTAGTATTATTCGCAATTTATTAAATTATCAATTAACTTCAAACCAATGAGCAATAAGTTGCCATCGTTTTCTGGGATCCGTATTAAAATATTTAAGCTGAAGATCAGAATATTTCTGCTTAGGATTGCCAAAATCTCGATAGCGATTGTCTATATAATGATGATTTAATAGATCTATAACTCGAATAATTTCTTCATCGGATTCCAATAGCTTTGGAGCAGACATCTCACGAAAATCACTCGATAACTTTATATCAGGAAATACGAGAACACCCCGAAATGAAAAATGACCACCATATTGTGGATGAAGCGATAAACCCATTCGTCTTTTCTACAAATTCATCGCGCAAATTCATTTTATATATATATATATTTCAATGTTTCAAACTTCAATGACCTACTACCCATCAATACTTTCCTCTCCCTAAAGTACTCTGGAAATAAACTATGAACTTAGGATGTTGTTTTGATCTTAAAAAAGATGAAAAGCGCAAAATATTTTATAGGTTTATTCATAAATTACTGAAATAAATACTTTATACTATTTTAAAATTTGAAGCAATGAAACTATCTACGAAAACTATAAGACTGCAGATGTATTCTATAAAAAACCTCTACTTCACTATAAATTTGAATTTTTATAATGACTCAAAATTATTTATAATAAAAATTAAATAATTAATTTAAATAATTAAAAATTTTTTTAAAAAAACTTTTAATACCTCTGTATTGCCACCAGTATTTGGTGGATAAAAATAAGCAGCACCAGCGACGTGGCCAGCTGCAGGCAAAGAAACTTTTGGAGGACGATGGATCACTGGTTCGTAATCACTAGTCCACCACATTTTATATGGTGAAACAAGCTAAAAGCTAAAATTAACTCTACCAATATAAGTAAAACCTTAAAAATTTCATTAGTAAAATAAGTAAAATAGATGATTAATACTCACCAATTGTGGTATTAGCAGAATGAGATAATTTTACCGCGGAGTAATTTGGAGATAAAAGTAGAGGTGAGTCTCAAGCACCACCAGAATTCTTTAATAAATTTTTTCCTCATCAAAGGTAAAAATTAAAAAATTAGAAGAGAATATTCGATATGATAATTTATGAAAAAACCCACTAAACAATATAAAGAAAAGTGAATAAGAAATGTGAGATAAAATTTAATTTTAAAATTAATTTATGCACATTGAACATTTCACATATATATAAAATCTAAAATAAGAAAAAAATTTATAGAAAAGTAAACTAATTAAATGAAGAGAATGATCGAATTATTCAGTATAACATTTCACATATACCTTTTCAATGTTGCTGAATTTCAGATTAAAATAATGAGTAATTGGATTCCTCTTGACCCGAATTATAAGATCTTGTAAGCAGTCTCCTTGAGAATAAAGCTGTTGAAGCCAAGATTTTAGAGTTTTCTCAAAATATAACGGTGTACTCAGAACGATAACGGCGAGAGAATCACTATCAAAATCAAGTCGAATATTTTCAGCAACATTTGAATTATATGAAACAACCTATAAATTTGATTCAAACTTTATTTCCCATCGTTTTTCTACTTAAAAGTATCAGAATCTCTAATAATTCCTCTCCAAAAATTTATTAACTAACTTTAAAAGGGTACCATTCAAATCCGTCAGATTCCTTAAGTGATTCTTGTAAAATGTTAGAAATTTTCCGCGAATCTTCATTCATATTTAATTGCTTCAGAACAGATGGATATTTTTCGCACAAATAGTTTCTTATAGACAATAATAATTGGACATTAGTCAATAATCGAAATTTCGTCCGTGAATATCGAAACATTCCTGAGTATAGAGACAAGTGAATTTTAAGACAAACTTCTGCGACAAGCGTGTCGAAAGTCTTATAAATGTAATAAGATGACGGGAAATTCATTTGGAATATAAGGTAAAAATATAAAAAATGATAATGTATAACCAATAGAGTTAAATTCTTAAACTCCTATTAAACTCCTATTATCACTGAGGGCAAAAACTAGGGATTTTTTTTTGTGAAAGTTGTGATAATTGTTTTCAGCGGGGAATCCGAAATTTATAAAAATTTATCCAATTTATCGTACTATTTTCATGTTTCCACCATTTCTTCCCTACGGTGATAATGATAAATATAATTTTAGACTTTTCTTTAAATTGCCACTTTCACAAATAAAAGAATCAAAAATTCAGAAAAATGGTTGACTATGTTTTATTTTATTGATAATTACACTTTCAGCACAGCTGTTTTCAGTTTTCAGTTTTGTAAAAATATTTTTACTTTCATTTTTTTTGAAGAAGTAGGTATTTTCTATTATCTATGAATATTTCATAATATATTTTATTTTTTGGCGAATTATATTAAATATTTACGCGATAAAATAAAACGACTCAGTCGATTATCGCTCTCAATTCAAAGCGCCTATGCTAGATGCTTTATTCCTGACAGGAATAAACCTACCTTTTAAAACCTCTCTAAGTGATTCTGGCAATTCATCTGTATTCATAGCTGAGTGCCTCTCTGACAAAATTTCTTTGGCCCTTCAAGCAAGCATAACCGAGAATAATAAGCGCTCATAGAAAAAAATCATCGAGTACTCATGAAAAAAAATTTGGCCTTTGATAAATCCAAACAACAATCTTTAAAAAAGTTAGTGGGTTTTTAATATTTTATGAGTTTAATCGACGAATTTCATAATTTTAAACGAATAATAACGAATAACGAATTTAAATAACGAATTTTTACCTTTTAAATATTTTATATGGATAAATTGTTTTTTACAGTTGAATAAAGAAAATGATGAAACAAACGAAACCACTGAAACCAACTTATCAACCAAGTGAGTATTATCTTTCCTCATGAGGTCAGGATAGCCGAATGCATAGCAGTTCAGACTCGCGTCTTGAGAGGAACGGATTTGGCCCTTACTTTTCGCAAGCATAAATCTATCATTAAGAAGTCCAGGTGGCTAACTGTTCATCTGTACATAAATGCTTCCCTGTTAAAAATTTCTAACCGTATTAATAGCGAACGGATCTAGATTAACCAAAAGTGATGGGTGGTAACCAATTGCTTATTTTTTTCATCTTACCGTTTTTTATCACCTTATCATTTTTTATGAAATATTAAAATTATGCGGATAAATGTATAATTCATAATAAAAAACAAAAAATAAGTTGGCCGAATCATGATATGTATAACGATAATCTAAACAATCAATGCACACTGCCGTTATAAATATTTATGATAATATTCCACAAATTCTGTTACCAAATATAACCAAGAAATTTTGAGCAAATAACAAAATCACTGCAGCAGCAAAAGATATTTCTGTTAATTACCAAAATAACAATTCAAAACCTTTAGTCTTTTTATAATAGAAGATTAGTAAAATGCCATGGTTTACTAATGCCATGAATTAGTAAAAAATGAAACCTGAACACCAATGTCAAAGCCTCAGATTGATTGGAAAACTCATTTTGAACCTGACGAAATGAACTTCTTCCGGCCAAAATTTCCTAATCCACGCAAAATCAGCGGAAAGGAAAATTGCAGCAGATTAATTGGTCTGGATTACCAGCAGGATGAAGAAAATCACCATTCTGGTGAATAAAAATATCGACGCAAATGGAAAATATTTTCCATTAGCGCCATCATAATATAGAAAGACGCACGCGCAATAAGATTTATGGATATCAAAATAAACAATTATTATATGCACTTGAGCAACAAGTGCCGAAGGAACCACTCAACATTGTGGTCCACTCGATAATTCAGCGCTTAACTTCAACCGAGGAACATTTATTTCGCTAAATCGTTTGGTGACAGTAGATATAATACTGACGGATTTCATAAGCAGAAGTAGTAGAAAAGGAATGTCAATATCAATGTTCTCATTAAATTGTCGAAGTCTTTAGGCTCATTTTGCGGATTTTGCAGATATATTGGTGCAGCAGTCAAATATATTGCTCATTGCTTCTCTCCATAATATGGCTTAATGTTGTAGACGTATACCTAATTTTGGTTAAACCTTCCATTTTAAATGTACAAAATTTACAAAAAAAATGACTATAAAAATGTCGGAATATAAATGCATCAGCTGTTATTGCAATATGTACTTATCACGGAGAACAGAAGAAAATATTTCCCCTAACCAGAAAACTTAAGAAATAAATTCATCCACCAAATATTTGCTGACATATTAATTTGTGACATCGCTCTTTATTTCTGAAAATCCCAATGATTATAAGCGAAGATTCCAATTTAGATTTTGCCTCAGAAGAATCACAGTTTCTGACTGAATTTTTCCGTATGGAATTCAATTAAAAAATAATAAATGGTCCTCAAAAAGAGAGGATGAAATTAGGGAGAGACTAATCTCGATGCAGCCTTCGCTATATTTCTCAATGTCATGGCCGAGAATATTCATTTTTTCTATCATAAGCCTACTGTATCATTTTTACATGAAATTGCTATAACTCTAAGGACAAAGACCTCTGTCCAGAAGAGTGCGCCATTAGTAAGATAAGATACTGTACAAACCCTTAAGGCCTCTCGCAAAGCACTCGAGAGTGAGGATAACCCATATCACACATAAGAGATAAGAAAATGATTTCATACATATGTATATTTGTCGCTGTTTTGACCACTTCAGTGATCACATGTCAATAAAATTAAATTAATTCAATAAAATCATTATTTTTATTTTTTTATTTTAAGTTAATTTTGACTCCAGAATTACGAGAAATTTGCCTTCTTACGTGAATTCGGTACACGCAAAATTTTTTTCTCTTTTTTCTTTTTATCGTCTTTTAACTTTATTACTTCTGTAAAGGCATTTAGGAGCCTTCAATCAAAAACATAATCATTATCATCTGAAAACATCCACCAATTTCCACTTCCACTAACTATTCCATTAACTATTATCAACAAGAGTCTTCGATAGACGATTCACTTAGACGATTGAAATTTAGAATTTATTGTTATCAACAAGTTTTGCTTTTTTTTTCTGTGTTACCCCTAGTTACTCACAAGTCACGCAAAAAAGTACCTATAAATTATAAAATTGCAAATGCCAATTAATCTGCTTGTCGTGAAGTCATTATCAGATCCATTTCCTCCTAACGATTTCAAAAAATTCCTTTTTTTTTCATTCATAATAAATTTACTGCCAAACACTGCTATTATAACGGAAATAAATTATATGTACTTTATTTACTTCTATAAAAAATATTCAACCGGAAACCGACAATTTAGTCAATATTACTCGATACGTTCTCTAAATATACTCATAAAAATGGATATAAAACTTAACCATAATCTTAATCTATTTATTAGTTCTAAGAGAATAATAAAATCTCAATACTGCAGCTATTATAGCTTAAGGTAAGCCAATTAAAAAATGCTAGAAAGGCAAATTTAATCGGGTTTTAAATAATAATCTAAAGGTTTAGGGATTTACAGCCCAGGTCACTACGATTTCACAGTAAATTAGGATAATATAGAAATATGAAAATATTAATAATTTTCGACTGCAGCATATCAACTGATTTATTTTGCCATTATTTATACTGTTTCTATATATATATCTATAAATTAGATAGCAAAAAAGTACAAAATCGTATGGATGGCAGTCAAGATATAATAAATCTTAACGTTAGCGGAAAAAGATTCACCGTACAACGAGGCAATCTGCTTGCTGTACCGACAAGCAAATTGGCTGAATGGTTTCGAACCGATCCAAATGATAATCAGTTGGATAAGGACAAAAGAGGTATATATATTTTTTCCAATTGTATATTAATAATTGGGTTATTTAGACAAACAAGTTTATTAACTGCCAAACTCGGATGTGAATTTTTTAGACAGTTTAAACCCAAGTTTTCCTCTATGCTAAGTTTTGGACCACAGGATCAAAAAATAAGGGATTCTCATCATTTCTGGTGAGATTCATCCCTGTTTTAATAGTTTAAAAGTTTAATAGTGCGGGACTTTTTATTTCTATCGCAAGATGAGAACAAAGGATATTAGCGCAGCCAGAATCCAGTCCGAACACTATGATCGACGCGGTTGTTATTCAAGTAAGTTCGATATATTCGAATCTTATGCACAGGCTGAATTTAAATTATGTGTTGCAGGTAATTATTATTTAGACAGAGATGCGAAAACTTTTCGTCATATTTTAAGTTATTTACGAATGAAAAGAGAAAATAATTCGTTATTACTTAGTCTTCCATCAAAACCCGAACAGCTTGCTCGGTAAGAATTTTTTTTTACATCGGCGTAATTCAGTATAAATGATTATGCAAATCCACCTTTATTTCTTTAATAGGCCATATCCTAGCAGTCGACTAATTCAGAAAACCTTGAAAGAATTCTTAATACGACCTCAAGCCAGCTAGATAGCTGATGGAAACTTTTGCTATTTGAAAGAAAACATTCTCGAACATTTTATTTTGATAGAGATATAAGAAGTTTACGTAAAGAGCCATATTGATGTTATACACATAATATTATCAGCAAAAAATTGTTATCAATATTTAGTCATTGGTATTACTGATATTCATATTATTTAATAGTATTGCTTTAGACTGATAATGGAATGCGAAATGCTAAATTTAAAAGAGTTGAGAGATTTAGCACGGGCATTATTACGTGATTACCACGTTAATGACGAGATGCATTTTACTGCATGTTATGTTAAACATATTATTAGTGAAATGGATGAAGATTGGCAATCGAAAACTAGCGATGAGGTATGCCTTCATTTTGGTGTGTTCTACCACAAAAGATAACTGATAAATTGATAAACAAACGATATCGAATTAGAACGATATCGAACCAATTGGCTATGTGGGGAAAAAATATTATTCCAAAAACTTGATAGAATCAGTTGAACCAGAAATAATGCACTCAAAAATATCAACACTAAGCGAAGGAAACTAAATGATAAAGATTCGATAACAAATGTTAAATTCATTGATAAGCGAGCCTAATTGCTTGAATAAATGTGAAAGTGAAGTAAAAAAGGTGTGAGCTCATCATTTCTAGCTAGTTAGGTTTGTTCCACTGGTTATTAGAAAGATGAGAAATTTTTGCTTGTTAATAGGACTGCAGAAATGAATCCCTCCGAATTTTTAAGAGATTCCTACCAAAAGCATAAAAAAACTCCGATATTTCTGACTTTTGAGTTAATTGTTAAGAATATTTTTAACAAAATTTCAGCCAACCAATAATGACAATATAAATATTTCTGAATATGATGAATGGGCTGCGATGTGCGTCCAGAAATTATAACTTGGAACAAGTTCGAAAGTGACGGAACTAAAAAGAAAAATATTGCAATTACACAGTTATCCTCAACCATCATTGGGTGTGGCATATACTTCTTCCATCAGGTTCATACGAAACAAACAAAAGTATGACGAATTCTTGACAAAATCCGAGTGGAAGGAATTGCATGCATCCATGCGATGGTTCAGGAAAATTGCAAAGAAAAAACTTATTTGACAAAAATGAAAAACTGCGTCGTTCAAACATTAATTTGGTTATATTGGTTATTATATTTTTGAAAATATTCGCTTTATTAGCTGCACCACTTTTTTTTGCTGCTCAGATTCTATCGTTTAAATTTTTCAAAAATGTTATCCAGATTGAACATTGTAATAATGCTTTTCTTCATCTTTTTCCTCAGTTCTCTCTCCTCCTCCCCCAACCTCGTCTTTTTTCTTCTTATCCTTCTTATCTTTCACCGTTACCATTACTCGTTGGACATTCTGGCTACGAAGGGACAAGCTTCTCTTATAATTCCTCTTCTCTCGATCCCATTTCTCTTCTTTTTTTTCCTTCTTTCTAAGCAAATCATTTCATCTCATAAAATTATTTAGTATGACAAGACTAACAATTTTTTTTTTTAAGAGTCCTCACCATTACTGATTAAACTCACTCCACTGGCTTGTCGCATTAGGCAATATGCCAGGTAGTCCCTTGGCGAAAGAAATACACATGAGTCGCCAGCATCATCCGATTACAATTTCATTAATCATTATTAAAGGATAAAAAGTACTTCTTTCTTCAGCAATCTCGATATATAATGTGTAAAGACAAATCGATGTTTTTATTGTTCGTTTCGCAATATTTTACCATAAATTCATATTTCTACCATAGAAAATTTATGGATTTATAAAATTTTAAATTTCTGTAATTTTTAAAATAAAAATTAGAAACAATTTTATAAAAAATTGCCAAATATTTTTATGAAAAAAGCATACTATTCATGTTGTTCCTTTACTTTTTCTGATTAGATATTGATTATAATTTTATATATTATATTACATTAGGTATTGATTATAATTTTACATAATTTCACATTATATTTTAATTATTAAAAATATATATATACTTGCAATTTATTTTTTGAAATGTTTTTTAGTGTATAAAAAATAGTAAAAAAGGAAAATTAAAATCAATCAATAGAATTTACTTTAAAAGCGTCAAATAAAATTTTAAAAACTTAAAATTATTTTCAAAAATCCTAAAATCGTGAAAAAAAGGAAAATGAAAATCCCACTGCCGAAATTTTCTGCTAATACAAAATTTGGTAAAATCAAAATATTTAAATATATGCAAAATATAAAATATAATATAATATAATAAATATAATAATATAATAATATAAATATAATAATATAAACAAAATATATACAAAATACCTGCAATATTATTTAATATGTATGTAAGTTGTCTTGACTCGAAAGAGAAAAGTTTTATTTACCGTTGAAATACAGCAACAATATATTATAATAATATAATAATTGGGTCAAAGATATGGGTTAAGGAAGATGGAGAATGTCGGATTGAATTCCGGTTGAATGTCGGTTTGAGAGCAAAAATTAGTTGGAGTTCCCGTTCGCCATTTTTTTAAAACACTTTTTAAAGTTCAAATTGATTTTATTATTTTTTTCCCATATGTGGGTTCAGTTTACAATATTATGCAAATCGCATAATATTTTTTTTCAAAAATATATATAAAACTGTCACCACTGTATTTAAAATTTGCAAACAAAGTGGTTTTTTTTAAATTACCAATAGATATGAATTTTGTATGATTTGAATATTAAGTAGCTGACTCATTATTGTAAACAGTCCTTTGTTCAAAGAGTGTTTTTTTAAAAAAAACTTTCGATTTTTTCCGAATTCCCGAGCGAAAGAGAAAAAGTATTAAGTAGTGGAATATGGGATGATTCATATTGTAAGGGAATTTAGGGAGTTAATACGGTTATCTCTATAAATTTATTTGGTAAAGTTTCCATTGGGATTGCTAAAAAATTTAGTTGGAATCTTATTGCATGGTAAGCATATTAGAGATCGAATTAGTTTAAATTTCATTATAATGTTATAGATATAAAAAATACAATTATTCTAACAATAATCAATTTCTAATATATAGCAAAGCTTGCCAATTCTTCCTCCATTAGTTCTGTTGCTTTATCAATTTGATTTTGTTCGGCAAATTCTTCACTTTGTTGATTTATGTATTTCCAGAAGGGCTCTATCTTGTATTGATTCGGTGCTGGATGTAATCCTTCCTGTTCCTGAGACAATATTTCCAATTTTGCACTAATTCTTTCAAATTCAAGTTCACTAGTTATTTCTTCTTTGAATTTGATATTTGTAGAATTTAGTTTTCTCGGGTTATCATTTATTGAAAACCAGCCAAACAGGGCGATAAATGCCATGTGCTTGTATTAATAACAACAGTTAAAAAGCAAATAATAATTAATGATAAAAAAAGAAAATATGACAAAAATTAGCAATTTAAAGAAGAAATAAAGAATACAAAATAATATAATATAGTATAATTAGAAATGACTGTATAATATATAATTGGATGGTAAAAATCGATTTCACACTTCCTGCATGATGTGAATTTTTTAAATAACATCGTAAATGATATTATCTATTCTTTCTTTAAAGATAGCTAAGGATGATGCACAAGTTATATCGTTCGGTAATTTATTCCAGTAATTAATGGTACGAATAAAGAAGTCATGGGTTCTTAGTCGTGAGTCTTCAATTTTGCATATAGGTTTATATTATCTAGGACTGGTTAAGTATTCTTAAGATCTCCATATCATCCAGAATATATCCGAAGTCTCAAGAGTATTTAAGCAGCATTTAATAAGCTTATCTCTAGTGTTTAGTTTATGTGGAAAAAATTCTTCATTCTGCATGTCATCATCTTCAATAGGTAAAATTAATGAAACATTTAGGTGGGATAAAATCATTAAGACTTACGACTGAATAGCCATTAATATTAATGTAGATTAATGGACTAACTAGATTAATTAATGAGTGATAAGTATACCGTCTATTTCCACAGTCAAAGTTATCAAAGTTATTAATTCCCTTTCCCATAGGAATTTTCTACCTATGACCCTTTTCATTGCTTGCTTCGTTAATCCAATTTTTTATAAATGCCTCCTTCCCATGATGTTCTAGGAGTTGTAGATTTCCAATTTACTCCTCTTGTAGCAAAGATCGACAATCTGTCCCATGACAATTTTAAAAACGTTGAAAAGTTGAAATTGAGCAGCATTATCACTTAAAATCAATTTGGAACATCCTCATCGACAGATAATTATATAATTATAAGTAAGAAGTCAGCAGAGAGATTCTTTATTATTTCAAGATGCATTCTGGTTATTCTGGTAAAACATATGAAAAGAGCAATCCATCGTTTTCCTTAATCATTTTCTAGTTTTATAGTAACAGGACCTAAGTAATCCAATTCAACTGATTCGAATGTTCTTAAACGTTGGGCTCGTAATTCTGGTAGGTTTGCCATATCAAGCAGTCTGAATGGTTTGGAAGTCCAATGTTTGCAAGCCATATATTGATTTAAAACCCGTTTGACCTCCGTTCCACCTTTTGAAATGCAGTACGCACTTCTCATTGTTGATAACTTATGAGCGACACCAATATGATGCGAATTTTCATGATAGTATAAGGAGTTCGGCTATTATATTGCTCCTTGATAGATAAATCGGGTACTTGCTGTTTCCGCTTGATTCTGAGTTCTCCAATCGACTAGTTGATAGTTTTTCATGTTTGTCATAATGAAGATTCCATTTAGTTATTTCATTGTTGTTGATAATTTCAAATTGTGCTTGTGTGAATAGAATTCGTCGATCTGTGTCTACTTCCTTCTTTGTTATATATGAGATATATGAGAGGTCATTTGAAATCTATTTAACCACTCTAATCTATTCTTTGTCATATATTTGATGAATCCGAGTGCCAAAATGGTTATTTAATTTAAACATTCACTGAATCTATGAACAAACATTGTTAATAATTGGGCATTTGTTGTATCAAATTTACATCAATCCATGTTTTCTTCCATTATGGCTGCTCGCAGTTGTTCTTTTCTAACCATGATGGTCCATATCACCAAGAATTAAAAATCTTGAGGTTTGTAGAAGAAAGTCCTCTTCTAGCCACGTCCACTGGGTTTTCATTCTGAGGTATGAAACGGAGATTAAATTTTCGCCTTTCGGATTTCTTCAACTCGATTATGGATAAATTTTGGATGTAATTCAGAATAATTTTTTATCCAATACGACGCATATTTGGAATCAAACCTCTGTGTCTGCTAAGCCTAATTGATTTAGTACAAATTGTCATGCTAGTACTCCAATGAAAATAGTAAGTTGTTCTAATCGCGGTATGGTCATTTATTTGATGGGTGCAATACGGAATTTGGCATAAACTAAAAATGGTTGCTTGTTGACATTCCTTCTCTGAATATGTATATTGCTGTTGCCTACGCCATACTTGAAGCATCGGTAAATATGTGAATGTTCGTTCATATGACTTGTAAAAATGGTTGTAAATCGAGATAAGTTTTCTACATATGTTGTCTTATCGTTAATGAGAAAAAACCTGTTGATCTTCATAATTTATAAGTTGGTCCCACGAATTATTTTTCTTCCATAAATTTTAAAAAAATAATTTAAATCTTATAATTACCAAAATTGGAAATCCTAGGGGACCAGTGAAGCAAATTGAAGAATAGTTCTATTAGTTAATTCATCCATGGTTTCCATACTTATGTGTATGATATGACATTTAGAAAATCACATAATCCCTAAAATTTTTCTGGCACTGAGGTTTGTTCGATCTTGGTCGGGTATAATTCCATTGAATCCGATATCATTCGAAAGAAATTCTCGAATATTCATTGCTCCCTCAAAAATAGTTCACAATTTTTGTAAAGCTTCTTCCGTGCCTTCTGTGGATATCAGAACGTTATCAAAGGCAAAGATTTTTTCTCACCTCTAAAGCTGTTTCACTAGCACTAGATTCCAAATGATAATTAACAGTAGCTGATAATAAGAAGGGAAATTGATTATATAACTCCAAATGGAACTCTTTTAAAACGATAATATTGCAAATTTTCTGTGAAATCCTTGTTTACATCCTTCAACCAAAGAAAAATGGTGCAATTCTATTTGCAAGAATGCCGTGACTACTTTCTTCATTGTTCGGAAGTGAAGTAATATACCCATATCTGGAAGTGTTATCGGATCATGATATAGTCTGGAAGTTTATCGGACCATGATGATATAGTATTTAAGCTTTTTGGCCCCTTCACATGTGGTGATGCATCGTAAACAATTCTAATTTAGTTTCCTTCGGAAGTCATATTGAGATAAATAATATATAGCACCAGCCTGGTCCATATGAAGTTCAAATATAAAATTCTCAATTATATCAGAGTGCAATTGATCCTATTTCACGATTTCAATTATTATTTCAATTATTTCACGATATTGTTTGAATTCTTGTCGATGAAACTGAAATCAAGCCAAATCAAATTTCTTAATCGGCCATCACAATACAGACCATAATTTTTATTTAATTTAGCTGAAGATTCCTTGACTATTCTACTTGATATCTTCCATTAATTTTGATTATATTGATTTTTTTTTGAATTGTTCCCGCGCTCGTTCGCCATCATGAACATAAGGTTGTCCATGTACTATGCATTTCAGTTTCCAAAAATTGATATATATGATCCATATCTAGGACACGGTGTGCACTAGAGATGCATTTGGGTTTACGGTTAATTTGATTAATTTCTTCGATACATACACTTCCGCAAATCATGGGGCCCAATATTTGGTTTGAAGCAGAGAAAATTTCAACTGTTGAACTTTTCTAATTGTATAAATTTGATGAATTAATCGGCTCCGATTAATATATTTGGTTTTTTCCGGTAGAAAGTTAGGCTTTCTAACGGGTAATTCTCGTCCATCGTAAATTATCCGCTATATAAAGTTCGTTAAATAATCCACCACATTTACTTCACAAATTATTATCTCACCCTTATTTCTTATTCCAATTAATAGTAGAAAGTACTATGTAATGTCCGGCTCCAAGGATAGATTCATTAAATTCCATTAATTTTATTTCTTCAATTTCTAAACTTCTAAATTTCAATTTGCTGATTCTTTGGATACGAAGCTTAATTGTGAATCAATATCAAATAACACTAAAATAATTTCCCTCCATATTTAAGGTCTCGCTAAATATTACATAATGATGGCGGTAATTATTGCAAATTTATTGTCGATAAAGATGCTATTTTGGTTTTGGTTACATCTTGTTGTTTAGATTCTTTGTTCAAATATTTTTTTTTATTTGATTTATTTTTTTATTCGATTGTTGATTCGAAATCTTTTTTAGATGTCTAGTAGTTTTTCGTCGTCGACCATACTTTTCTTCTTAGTCTTTCCTTTTTTTGTGGATTGACTGTCGTATTGATATATTCCAACCATTTTTTATTGATTGATTGCAAATAACCAATGTGTATTGTGTATTTCGAAGTGACGTAGCTTTTCTTCGATTATTCTTTTTCTGGCCTCGTATTGTTGACATAATTCTTTCAACAGCAGCTCTTGATTTCGTGACAACAAATGCAAATTTCGTACTTCGTTCAGGAGTTTAATTAGTTTTGTTATTTCTGGTTGCTTTTCGTTAAGCTTTTCACCATGTTCCCGATTCCGCGGCTGCGTGACACTAACAAGGTTCATTTATCGTTGAATTATAGCAGCAATATATTTACAATAGCATAATGAGTGCGTCAAGCAGACGAATAGGGTAAGAAAGAAGAAAAATATCGCATTGAATTCTGGTTTGAAAAAAAAATTGGTCAAAGTTCCCATTCGTCGTTTTTCTTTTTTCTCTTTCAAAAATACTGTTTCACCACTACATGTAAAATTTGTAACTAAAATGGTTTTTTTTAAATTACCAACAGATGTGAATTTTTTATGATTTGAATATTGAGTAGCTGAATCATAATTGTAAAGAGTCCTTTGTTCAGAGTGTTTTTTATATAATAAATTCGATTTTTTCCGACATATGCGGTATAAGCACACCATTTCTGATTCGACTGGCTAGTAGTATGGATAGAAATTTTGATGAATGAGAAGTAGATTAGAACAAATAGGTTAGGAGCACCAAAGAGTTTTTAAATAACAAGTTTATTTCTATCGAAAGTAGGACTATAATCTAAAAAATAAAAAATTAACAAAAAATTATAAAAGACTGGTAGTATCAACTATTTAAATTGTTAATTTTTTTAAAAAAACTCAGGTCACTTTTCAGTATTTCGAGAAAAAGTGTCTTTCTTCCAGAACTTTTAATTAATTTCCAAATTTCGCAGAATGCTTCGCAATTTTTTAGTTTGGCTGTATTTTACGCTATTATCGTGGATTCCATCAAATCCTTTTCAACGATATAATCAACAAATCGGTGATGTACGTTGCACATTTATTATTTAAAACTCGACAAATTCTCTCAAGAAAACGAATTCATGATTAACTAAAATTAACGATAAGTAATTATAAAAAATAAATTAATTATATTTAAAAACAGTGGGATTTGGCTCGCCTACCACGCGTTAATATTTTAGAATAACCTTGATCCGGCTGCTTTATCAGTGGAATAAACAATGATCACCGTACGAATTAATAAAAATCTTCGCTACCTCAAATTTGAGTAATTAAACCTCAGTAATATACTGATAAGAAAAACAATAAATATTTGGTACAAATTAAATCCATAGGCTAAAAAAAATAACTATCTCAGAACAAATAAGAAATGAAGGATATTAAATAACAAAAGGGTAAAATATTGAAATGTTGGGATCCAACTGCTTGGGTCCTTTGATGGCTACATAATGAGGTAACAATTTCTTTGAGAAGATTGTACAACATATACAAAAAATTGACCTTTATCTTTTATTGACATATGTGAAGGCAAGGAATTATTAAGTTAATGAAAGGATCATTTGGAGGATCGGTCTCACCAATTTGAAATAATAAAATAGAAATAAATAATAGAAAATATCACATTTCGCGAAGCTACCGACCGCTAAAATGCAACGAACCAAAATCTTTTAAACCTCTAGAATATCATTAGAATTTTGATCATTGATTCTAAGTTTTCAGGCTTTCGGAATAAGGAATTTTTATTTTTTGGATCTTGGATTAAGAAAACGAAATTTTTAGAAGCACGATCTTGCCGGCCTTAAAGGACAAAAACTGAAATAGGAAATGATACCCATATGGTAATAATTAGAATATCACTTGGGCGATACAGGAAATTATTAGATATTTCATGTGCTGTATTTGATTCTATGACCATCTTGGAATGAGGAAAATTGATCCTCCCACTGGAACTTCAATAGTTAATTTTCCAGTGATTTTTACAGAAAACATTTTGTGATAACAGCTTTTTAGAGAAGAGCAGAAGATTCAGGAGATTGATTTAACAGCGGCTTTGGATGTGAAGAAATGTTTGGGCAAAAATTTTTTCTAGTGGACTGCTACGGACATCATTATTGAAAGCCCTGAAATTAGGATCGTTTCGGTTTTCTGGTTGTGATCGTGAGGACATTCGTTGAATTCAATTTTTTCTTTTCGCATATCTCCAGAATTTGACTAAGATTTTGAATATTCCACTGACAACTTTTTTTTTTCTGAGCGACTCTTCTTGCCACTCTTGGTGGTAATCAATCTTCAGTAAGAATTAAGATGGAAGTATTAAAATCTTCACCAAGATTCGCCATATATCTCAAGATTCTTTCAATGTTTCCTCTAACCAATCGAATGCGCTTATTCTTAGGAGATAACTGCACTAATTCATGATGGAGTGTTGCGAAAATTATTTGTGGATTGCCGTATCGGTCCTCAAGAAATTTCCAAACTTCATTATAAAATTGGTTGTCAATTGGGAAGCCTTCAACCAGCTGTTCTGCTTCTCCATCTAGGCACGACATCAAATATTTTAGTTTATGGACTTGTTATAAATTGTAAATCGATTGAGGACAAAAAACTGTTTCTGAAGGAGAACCAGTGCTAAACGGCTCCATTAAAACGAGATAATTGCAGCTTGAAAGTTATACTGTTTGGATATTTTGCTGGGGTTGAAGAGGAATTGAGAGGGAGGGAAGGGTTCTTCAATTTTAAGCCCAAAATTTTTATTGACGTGTCTAAATCAAATATTTGTGATCTTCAGATTTAAAATTAGTTGTGAATAATTGTAATAATTTTTTCTTTTACACGGTTTTTGCGTTCTTTGGAATCTAATTCGTTAGAGAGGCTAGCTCTTTGCCTTGGTCAATACTACTCCAAAGAGTTTCGACCAGAGTGAGGAGCTTAGTTTTTTGGCCTTCAAGGTCGCAATCTTTAATAAATAGAAGAAAAGGGACTTAGATTCATCCTCAGTGAGATCTCTTATGCTTAGACTATCGATCTGTTTTAAGAGGATAAATTCCTCTTTATAATGGTCTGCCATTATTATTACAGAAGCCATTATTATGGAAATAGAAATATTAAAATAATAATCGAAAATGTAACATTATGCAGAACATAATAATGCAAAAATTAAGCCTTAAATTAAATTTAAAAATTCGATTTAACAAGTTGCTTAATAAATTAAATGGTCACAATATTTGAAATTAAGCATTGTCGTAAGAAATTCTGGATTTTGTCCTTGCTTCGAATTTAATGATTTGCCAACAGAGGCGACAAGCCGTTTCAAATTTGAAAATCAGGCGGCGATAAAATTGATTTGGGTTTTTGATTTACCCAAATAATTGTTAATTTTATTTTAAAAAATTAAAGACTGCCCTTTTTGACGGTGGTCGAATCCAAAATACCAATAGCCACTGTGGTTCTAGAAGTCCGACGCATTATGTGAAAATAATGTTTAATAATATTTGACAGCAATAGGATTTTGCTCGTCTACTACGCGTTAATATTTTGGATTAACCTTGATCCAGCTGCTTTATCAAGACAGTGGAATAAACAATAATCACCGCACGAATTAATAAAAATTTTCGCTACCTCAAACTTGGGTAATTAAACCTCAGTAATATACTGATAAAAAAACAATATTCGATACAAATTAAACCCATAGGCTAAAAAATAACTATCTCAGAACAAATGATTAAATAAAGGATATTAAACAACAAAAAGGTAAAATATTGAAATATTGAGATCCAACTGCTTGGGTCCTTTGATGGCTGCACATTGAGGGAACAATTTCTTTAAGAATATACAACATACTATAAATTGACCTTTATCATTTATTGACATATGTAAAGGCAAGGAATTATTAAGTTATTAATAATGAAAGGAAGGCTTTGTTCGACGGATGGAGGTCACCAGTTTGAAATAATGAATTTGAAATAATAGAAAACATCGCATTTCGCGACAGTAATTTTAATAAGATTTACACCCAATCAAGTAATAAGGATTGAAAGCATGGTTGTCGGAGTTGTAACTGTGAGCTGCGGCATAAATCGGTTGACGAGTACAAGTCAGTGTGCAGCATAAATCGCTTGATGGGAGCCAAATTTGTTAATAAATTTTTGGAAAAATTCGAAGAACAAAAATCCATTTTAATAATAAATTTTAGAAGATGAAGGAGAACGAAAAAAAAATAACGAAATCGAAACCAAAGAAATGGAAAAAAGACTTTGCAATGAAATCGAAAACATGGAAAATTCATAAAAGTAAACCTCGATGAGCAGAAAAATGTGCTTTTAAATTCGTTTTATTGTGTTCGGTTATTGCTTATTATTTGAAAAACTTAATAAATTTTCAATTCAATACTATGGGAGATAATTAGCGCGATTATCGCTTCTTTCTTAAAAGGTTCGTTTCTTTCCGGCGACGCAAAATTTCTATAAAAAAAGTTCGCAAACCCTCTTCCGCGCATTTCGACAAGTAATTCCTTAAGGAAGATTCGTCACCATAAAAGCCTGCCGAACATACTTGCACTTCGAATCCGATTAACCACACTCCCACAGCTCACCCAGCGTACTCATGAAAAATATCCGTGGTACATGAAAAGGGTGAAGCGTCAATGTGCGTGGTACAAATTGTTGCATATCGCTAGCAACGATTACGAATATCGTTCAATACGGCGGCGTTTAGGCTTTGCTTTCGACAAATGTCGAAGGGGAGGAAGAATGGTTCCTTTCGTTTTTTTGCTTCTTTTTGCTTTTTCGCTCATGAAATTCGATGTTTATTAATTGTCCTTAATTAATTATTCGTTCAAAAATAAAAATTCCATTAAATTTAGGCAAAATAGGTTGAATTTATTGCAGTTTATTTAAGAAAAATCGTCGTTAGTTCATAAAATTTTGGAACGAAATTGATTTAATTCCGTTCGCTTTTTCCGATAATTTTCCACTTGAATTTCGTCGCAATTTCGTCGAATTTTGGACTTTTAAAATTATTTCATAAATTTTATTTATTTTCTTGCAACGTTAATTGCTCGATGTTGCGAGTGATTTGTCGTCATTTTAATCGAAAACTGCAGAGAATTTGCTTATTCGCAATAAAAAATCGTTTGCGAACCGAATTTCATCCAACTTTTTCTCATAATTTTCGCATGGGATATTTTGTTTTTTAGTTATTTTTCGTGCAATCGCTATTAAGTAAATTGTAAAAAAGATGGGTCGCATGCATTGTGGCGGTAAAGGTATATCGCAGTCGGCGTTGCCGTTTCGCCGTTCTGTGCCGTCTTGGCTTAAACTTAGCAGCGACGATGTACAAGAACATATCACTCGTCTTGCTAAAAAAGTCTGTTCATTTCTCTCCTTTTTTTAATTTTTATGATATTTAAAAATAAATTTTTTCTGCCTGCTTTCTATAATATTTTTAAAAAGTTTTTTTAATAATTTTTAGTGATTTTCTATTGGACAAGAAGTTTCAGTTTTTATCGTTTTTAGGGACTCGAATGTTTGTCGGGATTAGCGAAATTTTTACATTTGAAAAATTTTTTTGTTGTTTTGTTTGTTGACCTAAGGACATCTGGAAAGTGCACATAAAATTCAGGTGCAAGGTGTTTTAAATCCTTATACTTGGTAGCATGTGCTATAATACAATACTATGATCAAGGTATCTCGAATCTCTTTTTTATTTATAGGTTCGTCGTTTTGATCTGACAAGTAAATGAAAAGAAATATGAAAAAAATTTAAATTATTCTTGTTTCAAAAGATAGTGGTAATATTTTACCGGATTTTAACAAATGAAAATTCAGGCATTACTGCATCTAGAAGTCACGTCCTTAGTTTAATTTTGTACATAGATTTTGGCATCAACAGATGTTATTTTGTTCAGTGGGCTCAAGTGGTCATGAGTACTTAAAATTCAATTCGAAGATAACTATATGGTCTGTTTTGCGTATAGCCTGACCCCTTCCTTCCATGTCGATGGATTTCCTTAATGTAATGAATTTTGATCCCAGCAGCAGCTACAGCATTTTCCACTAAGAGGCTATTGACAATCAATCTCATCATCCTTAGATTCTCCGGAATGTTTGTGCTATCTAGACATAGTTCTTTTTCCTTTCTTTTTATGTCGATAGTTTGCAATATTTGCTCAGGTAAGATTTTCGAAGGCTCAAAGTTGCCATCCAAAAACGAAACTTTCAAATTATAAATATCATTTATAAGTTTTTCGGTTCTTCGTTGACCTTTGTATTTCGACAGTTAGGTGCAAAATTAGTTGCTGCTTTTCATATTTTTCAATAACGGAGAATAGTTGTAATCTCAGATCCTCTATAATTTTATTTAAGCAGCTGACATCTTTATTGGAAACGACCTCATTAGTTGCTATTTTTTTCGATGCTATTTGAAATTCTCTTTTACAAGTGCCCGTTATAAAACGATAAGAAAAATATATTTTTTGAAAAGAATATCTTTTGGACAAATGCAATAAGAATAATGTATTCCTTCGACTTTTAACGAAGCACAATACAATAAAAAATAATGAATTATTGACGGACAGAATAGCCGACACAACCGCTCACAGAATATATAATTCTTCATATAAAAGGTGTTATTTCTATTCTGATTTCTGATTCGGTCCAATGACTGCTAGAATGAGGCGTTATATCTATGAGGAAAGAGCAGCATGGAGACAATGATACATATGGCTCCACAGTATCCACCTAGACCCCTTTTTTGTGGTGGATTTTAGTGGTCGAAGACAGGTCGAGCGATGTAATCCGTCCTTGTTCCTAGTGGCATTTGAAACACCTTCAGCGACTAGTGCCGTTTTCAGAACGTTTAATCATTTTCATATCTTTTTTGTAATTGTTTTTGTAGAACTGCTTTATTCTTTTTAATAGCGATCTAGTTTTTCTATATTTTATTTATTGCTCAGATTAGACAAGAACATTTTTTGACTTGTGTTTAATAATTTTCCAACTATCATAATTTATTTTTAACAGGAGATATTTAAAATTTTTTTAAATTTTCTTTCTTTTTCGAATTGTTTGTCTGTACAAAAAATATATAATTCAGGGCCTTCGACCATCTCAGATTGGTGTAATACTTCGTGATTCACATGGAGTTGCTCAGGTACGGCGAGTGACTGGAAACAAAATTGTAAGAATTCTGAAAAGCAAGGTAAACTTTGAATTTCTAAGATTAAAACACTATTCGCTATTTTTAGTATTTTCTAAAATTATTTCCTTAGCTTTTGATAGGATTTAATAAATAAAATTTTATAATGCACTAAAAAATTAATAAATCTAATTCAAATGGTCTAAAATCATTGTAACTTTAAATGTTTAAAAGTTTCTACGACTGGTATTATTTTAACAGCTCTCATCATTACTGGTTAGGCTTGCTCCGCTGGCTACAAGAATAAGATGTCTCAAAACTACTCGGTCAGACGCCATCGCTAGTAGTATTAGAAGCCATTTCTTTTTCCATCGTCTGAGTCCATATATCGCTAGTCCTTCTATGCGTTTGAAATCTTTCCTAACTGTATCGGTCCAAGTCTTGATTGGCCCTCCTTGCTTTTGACACCAATTATCACAGGGTTTGGCAAGTAGCGAAATATGCGTCTCCTGCGGTGGACGATGGAGAAAGTGCCCTAACCAGCGAAGGCGACGTTCTATGATAATGAATTATTAATATAGGTGTTATTTGAGCGAAGATGGGTACAGTTGTGTGCTATTTTATCCACTCGACGGACCCATATCTTAGACATGAATGGTAAAAGCTTAACTTTTCAATATCTTCCACTCTCATTGGCCATGTCTCGCAACCATATAGCAAGATCGAGCGAATCGCAGGTACATGGACGTAGATTTTCGTCTTTATGTGATTTCTTGACGGTTCCATATAAATTTCGTCAACCAGAAAAGCACTCTGTTATCTGGGAATTTCATCCTTATGCAATTTCGTACTTTGCCTGGCCATTTGGGACTAGAATGGATCCAAGATATTTAAAGTGGAGCATCAACTGAGTTGATAAAAATAGGTATTTTATCGGCGTCTTGTATATAAGACGAAAACATTTCGTTTTATTTATATTGACCCTGGGTCCAATTCTCTGTGCAGTCGTTTATACATATTTAAAAAAAAGCTAGTTTAGAGTTTCTTTTAAGCATTTTTTTTTGAATATTTAAAAATATATGTAAATAGAAAGGACCACATCATCAGTGTATTGTTAATCTGTGATGCTATACTCTGGTCTGATTTGAACATCTCTTGAAGAATGCCGACAAGCGATGCCCATTATCCAGTCTATCGCATAATTGAATATTTTAGAGCAAAGGACGCAGCCCTGACAGAATTAGTTCTTAGTTCTTATTTCGAAGGGGTTCCCCATATAAAGAAACCTGTGCCAGAGATGATAAAATGAGCTTTTATGAGCCGAATTATCTTCTCTGGGATACCGTTACATTTTATCATTTTCCAGAGCGTTGCTCTATCAGTCGAATCGAAGGCAGCGCAAAATTGATAAAGCAGGTGACGGTGGGTTGCTGGTATTCGAAGCGATGTTCCAGGACCCTTCTTAGCGTAAATCTGGTGAGTGACAACCGGTCTAAATCCAGCTTGGTTAGGATGATGCATTCTGTTATCTTATATTGCCATGAGTCTATTCAGCAGAAAGGAAGCGAAAATTTTTCTGGCGATGTCTAGTTGGCTGATTCTTCGGTAATTGTCGCGCTACGTCCTTTTATCTTTCTTAGGAATTAGAAACAGAATTTGCTCCAGTCTTCTGGTATTATTTTTGCCATAGCAGAGAATATATCAGAGAATATATTTTTGCCACAGCAGAGAATAAATAGAATGTTGAAGATGAGTTACGAGTGATGATGAACATTTGAAGAGTTCAGCCCGAAGACTATCTCATGGAATTTTTTTGGTGTTAAGCTTATGGATTACAGAGATTATTTGTTGCAAACGTATGACTCGACGGGCGAATCAGTTATATTCGGGACAAAAGATGGCGCATCATGGTTAAGCTTGATCTTAAAATTCTTTCCCTCTTTTGAGGTGATCCTTAATATTTTTAATATCCGCCCTATTAATGTCCCGTATCATTTCATTGAACTCTTCGAGACTTATAGTTGCTTTGTGGAGAAAACGAAATAGTTTCCTATTATCGCCTATCTGAGTAGCCGTCTCCATTCTCAAGGCCATAGCGATTTCTTTTTCGCCATGCTCCTGTCGTTGTAATTCTTCCAAGCTTCCGATAGTCAAGATCTCCTGACATTCGAGTATTGGCCACTTTTTCAAACAATTGGACAGTTGTTTCCAACACTATTGCACTTACTATTAGTATACCATAGTGTGGAAGTGGCTGGCGTTTGTAGGCATGCCTTTAGTTGCGACCACTATTCATTCACCGTTCCACAAATGTGATATATGCATACTTCTCTAACTATCTTTTAGGGTATGTGAATGTGTATGAGTGTATTTTTGTTAATAGGCACTTCGCTAAACAGTCGACTTAGAACTGGCACGGACTCGGGGAATCCGACTGTCTAATTAAAATAGAGGAGACAGACGGTCCTTGTTGTGGACGTTGACTGTCTCTGATTTCTGCCCAGTGCTCTGAATGTAAAAGTGAAGAAATTCAACTAAGCGCGGGTAAACGGCGGGAGTAACTATGACTCTCTTAAGGCAGCCAAACGCCTCATCTAACTAAGGACGCGCATGAATGGATTAACGAGATTCCCACTGTCCCTATCTGCTATCTACGTTCATTTCACCGAGGTGTTTCAGTAATGGTTTGAAATGCGTTTAATGTTCCCGGATCTTTTAACTTGAGATAGTTCAAAAATTTTGGGATATACTGTTTCTTACGACTTGTCAATTTTGTCAGTTTTCCCAGGTCTAATATGCATTTATACAAAAATTCTTGCGAAACTTTTGCAGTATTTCAGGGAATGGCTCCTGAAATACCTGAAGATTTATATCATCTGATCAAAAAAGCTGTTAATATCCGGAAGCACTTGGAACGGAATCGAAAAGTATTTTCTATGTTTTTGGCTTTATAATGATTTGTACTATTTACTGGTTTATTGGTTTTGTTCTTATATTTCAGTTTTTTTGGAGTTTTCAATTAAAATAACGATTTTAAAGGATAAAGACTCAAAATACCGATTAATCTTGGTTGAATCACGTATACATCGCCTTGCTCGATATTACAAGACAAAACGTCAGCTTCCGGCTACCTGGAAATACGAATCGGCAACTGCATCAGCTCTTGTGTCATAATTTTTTCTACCGCCTTTGTTTGTTCTATGAATTAAGCAAAAAATAAACATTGTTTATTATTCTTGTTTTAATTAAACAAATTTATTGAACGAATTTATTAAATTCGGTGCATCCAGCACTCTTTGAAAATATTCCACGTGATGATATATAATCGTTTCCAAGGAAACAAATTTGTAAGAGTTTTGCCATGTTTAAAAAATGTATCTCAATGGAATAGCAAATGTTTTGTGAATGTAAATAGGATATGAGAATGGAGTCGTGAGATGAAGGTGTGTGTTTTTTTTTTAGAAAGGTGGAGAGGAACTATTGAAATTAAAAAAAGGTTGGGAGGTCGGAACGTAAATCTAGTTTTGATATTGCCAATTGCTATCTTTTTAATGGCATATTTTGGGTTATTCTATAATAGTGAAGGCGACGTGGGGTTGTATTTTGCATGTGAAAATCTCAAAAACTTCAACTGATTTAGCCAATTTTTCGCATTGGAAATGATGTTTTGGGTGAAGGTGCCGTCAATTTCGAATGGCGACCTGGGGGAAAATATATTGCAGTATGCGGGTAAGTCATCAGTTAATCAAAGCAGTGGGAAGGTCATAAATAAATTTATAACAATTAATTACATCTTTACTCGTGAAAAGTTAGCTATTGCGGTTTAAAAATGTAATGACAAGTCTTCAAAACAATTTTGTTTTTATATTTATTAATAAAATTTTAAATCTTTTGATTTATTTATTCTGTTAAATTTATAGTCTATGTTTTGTAGTCTATGTTTAGCATTCATTTAAATAAATGATATTAAATGACCTTATGGCAGATAATGAATATATTTAAATAATTATTATGGTCTTAAATTTAGATCAAATCGATTGGTGAATATCTATGATCGAAGTGGCAAATTGATCGATGCAATCACCAAAGCCAAGTAAATATGTTTTAAAACTTGGTTTATAGCAGGTAGATTTAAATTGTTTTCCATTTCGTACAGAGATGATTTGCTAATAAATTATTGTTCGAAGAAAGATTACTTTTCTAGAGATGTAATTTCAATGTGCTGGGATAAAGATGGTGATCTTATTGCTTTGGCAAGCGATCAGTCACCTGTAGTGAGCTTGTGGGAAGCTGGAACGAAAAAAATAACTCTTTTCGATATCAATATGGGATGCAAGTAAAGTTTTTTACTTAAAATGTCTCCGGGCCTCTCGATGCCATATCCAGAAGTAGTACAAGCCAGTCATTTTTCCACCATTTTAGTCCATTCATAGCTGGATCACATTGAATATCTTTGATTATGTTCTGATTTGTTTTCTCATTTTTTACGCTTGCAAATAGGATATCTGTCAATTCCTTTGATGATGAACAGCGAAGATGTTATTGTAAATTTATTAAGTATTTATCATTTACAGAAGTGATATTTTCACTTAATTTTATTCACGTATGGAATTTTTATATATTTTTTTCAGTGAAACATCAGTGTTTCTTCTATGGTCCCATGTATCATCAACTCTGGCTATCGGTACTAACAAAGGAAATTTGGTGTTGTACAACCATCGTGCATCAAAGTTTATTCTTAATTTTATTTGGAATTCTGAAATACGAAAGATCTAAGAAAAAATGAGTTCAAAGAATGGGAATCAATCCATTGTTTTTTTCTCTTCTAATATTACTCTCACCGTTACTGGTTAAATTGGCTCCGCTGGCTAAGACATAAGACATTTCCAGTCTATTCAATCCGACGATATCGCAAACAGTAATAGAAGCCATTCCTTTTACCATCGTCTAAATCCATATATCGCTCATCCACTATTCAAAGTCCTTCCTGATTGTATTAGTCCAGGTTTTGATTGACCCTCCTCGCTTTTAATAATATTTATAATAGAGTTTAATAAATATTTGCTAACTTCTGTGTTCCGATGGTGGACGAAAGCAGCAAAAGCGACGTGATACAAATAGTATTTGAGCGAAGAGTGGACCATGTGAGGTTTTATCCGCTCGAATGGCCTGTATTTTAAATATGAGTGGTCAAAGTCAGTTAGTTTCTTAATATCCTCCACTCTTATTGGCTACCTCTCGTAATTATATAGCAAGCTAAGCAAAAGCGACGGTTCCATAAAGTTTTCGCCAATCGGTAAAGTTAGATACCGTTACAGACTGTAATTTCCTCTTTTGCTTGGCTGTTTATTATTAAAGTGGATCCAAGAGATTTAAGACCTGGTCCTTCCTCACTCGCCAAAGAATTGATAAAATAAGTAAAAGAAAAGGGTTTTCTTTTTATTTACATGATTGTGAATTCGGCTTTTGATGCATTTGTCAACGTTGTCGCCACACTATTTCGCTTTATCTGCATTTCGTATAACTATCAGCAAAAAGGCTGATATCTCGTACTACCATAAATCTATTCAACAAAAGGAAATTGGAAATTCAGGAGATGCGAGATGCCTCAGATTGATTCCTCGACAATTCTTACAGTATATCATCATTCTTAGGAAGAATTGCTTTGCTTTGTCATCAGGTATTATTTCTTTCTTCCTTACCAGACAATATTTGTGTTATGAAGGATGATGGACAATATTTGAAGATTTCGGCCCTATGTTCATCTTCTCCAGTAATTTTCTTGACCTTAAGTTTCTGTATAACAGATTATTTCCTGTTCTACTAATGGTTCGCAGTTGTGACATATATTTCGACGAGCGGTTTCAGCTATATCTGAAACAACTTATGGACCATCGTGGTTGAGTTTGGCCTCAAAAAATTTCTCCACCATATGAAGCTATCCTTAATAGTCTTAAACCTTCCATTTCACTGTCCGTTCCTCAGATTGCTATAATTGCTTTGTGAATAAGGCGGAATAGTTTTCTGTTGTTGCCTAATCAAGCCATTGTCACCATTTTCGATATTTCGGTCATTAGTCTAATAGTGATTTTTATCTCGCCATGCTAGAATCGTCATAATTCTTCGAAGTATCCGGTAGTTAAGATCTCCTTAATTGTATTTAATTAATTATATCAATTGTATTTTGGCAACCTTTTCGAACAATTTGCTACGATACCCAACTATCGTATACTAACATATCCTAAAATAAAATTGGCTAATTTTTGGAGACATACTTTTAGTTGAGACCATTATTCACATGTTGTTCCAGAGATGTCATTGATATCCATTTCACTGAGGAACTTCAATAATTCAGTTTGCATTGCGCTTATTGTCTCCAAATCTTTTAGTGATATAGTTGAAAGATTTTGTGGGATGCTGGTGGATTGTTTCTTACGGTTGCCAGCTTTAGGGGAATCTTGATTGAAACCATAACATGATCTGATCCATGAAAGTTACCATTTTCAGTACATCGATAGAAATTATTATCTAGAAACTATTCCAACGATTGACTAAGGTATAATCAATGTGGTTAGAATACTGGTGTTTCCACGTCATTAAGTGTCTTCTTAGGTACTAGAAGCATGTATTAGTAATAAAAAATTCTTACTCTCTTCAGCAGTACCAAAAAAACGTTCTCCATCGGCCCATAGGACCAGACGCCATTTGCCAATTATCGAGTTTATCTTGGCGACATCATTATATGCGTGTATATTCCAGTCTTTTCCGATTATAAGCTTATACCATTTTTCAGTATAGATTTAGCAGTTCCGCATAGAACTTATCTTAGTGTCGCGGTCATTTGCGCATTGCAGAATTTTCCTTTGAAGCGAGCATGGGTCAACAGTCATTTATCGGCTTCAACTCAATTAGTGCGGATCAACCTTTTTTCAAACATGTCATGATAAAACACCATTCCGCTCCAAGTTATCCGAAACGTCACAATGATAAAGTCAATATCTCGCAGCCAGATTTAATAATAAAAAAGAGCCGAACTGAGAAATGCCCCGACAAAGATTTGACGTCCTCACGATTTTGTGGATAATGATCGCTTGGCTTATAATGTCCATAAGTATTCTTACATTCCAAGCAGCTATGCCCAACAACTTTCCGCGCGTGTAGAAGCGAACAATTCCTCGTTTTCCTTCATAGATTTCGAGCACTTATCCTGGCTTGGAAGCCATTCGATATTCTCAAACCTTAAGGTCTTTTCATACGTCCAAATTGCATATCTTATAGCCACTGAACTGTCAGTATCAAGCATGTTGGAAGATGTAGACGGCTTGTTAAAAAGATCAGACCGTTTCATCACAGAGTCATTTGAGGATATAGTTATAGATGGGTCCTTATCAGTCACAAGGGTTTTGATATCACGATGGTTTTATAAAAGCAAAAATAAAAAAAATTAAGGAGTGATGAGAAATGAAATAGAAATAAAAAGAAAAAATAAAATAAACTCAAAAAGAAAAAAAATTGTTTAAAATATATAATATATATTTATATATTTATTATATATTATTTATATATTTAATATATATTTATAATTTATTGAACTCTTTGTTTCTTTTTTTCTCTCTTTGTTTCTTAAAATTTTTAAAATTTAAAAAATTTAAAAGAAAATTTAAAAGAACTTGGATTAATTCTTTATAAGAAATTTTGAACAGCAGAGTGGAAAATGACCGCTCAGGAAATAAATTTTTCACCTTTCTCTCATTCCACTGTATCGATTTTTCAAAAGAAATTATGCTTTCAATATGTTATAAACATCAATGATATTATGAAATGTAATTTAAAATATAAACTATAGAAATAACTTATTCATCTTAGCTTGTCAATGAGTTTGATTTGGATAATTTTTAAGAAAAACCCCGATAGTTGGTAAACATCAACGAATGATTACTTGTGGAGCATTCTCGGATGGAGACTTTTTGGCACTTGGAAGTAAGGATGCATTCATTACAGTAAGCAGTATGAATGGCGATTCGCTTTATTCCTTCGCGTGCAATTCAGAACCAACACTTATTAAGTTTCATAGCATGAAAAGAGCAAATGAGAAGAAGAAAACTAAAGTTGATATTATGGTATTATGACTTTCTTTCTTTAATTTTTTTTATGGAATCTAACTTTATCTTTTTATTATTTTTTATCTTTTAACTTTCCTCCTCTTCGAATCTTTGTATAATCTCTTCGATGCCCAATTAGATAAATAAAAGGCTAATAAAATAGTTTTTTGCATAAATCCTTTTATGAGCTAAAACAATAATTTATAGCTGAGTGCAGTACTTGAAGATAGGATGATAATGCTTATCAATTTGGATGATTCCGAAAATCCAATCAATCTGCAATTTCAAAATCGTTATGGGAAAATTGTTTCTTACGTTTGGTACTTCTTAAATTTAATAATTCATAATCATTTCGTGCGAAAAACTGTAATTTTTATTTTTTCTTCGATAATAACTGTATTGATAATTTATTAATAAACTTAGGTTCGCTGATGGATACATACTACTTGGCTTTATTAAAGGATTTGTTGTTTGCATATCGGCATATGCTTCAGAAATGGGTCAGGTAAATCTATTTAATTGTAATATTTAACTTTTTAATTCTATAATATCTATCTTTTTTTTTCTTATGCTTTCATATAGCACACATTTTCCAGCATTTAATATCTTTTCTTTTTAGGAAATCTTCTCCGTTCAAGATTTTAAATCATATTTGGCATATTTATGTATCAATGAAAATTCCGAAAAAGCGCTAATTATTGGTGATAACCAGTGAGATTTCAAATTTAAAAATAATTTAGCGTCTTCGAAATTTTCAATTGCAGTAAAAATCTCCTAATTTCTTTTACTTTAATTTCTTCTTCTACCATTAAAACTGGGATTTAGCATTTTTAATAAGATTAAGCATAATTTGCTTTTAACCATATATCTATTTCTTCTATTTCTTCTCTTTTTAACTAAAAAACCCTTTTTTCAGGCTGAAAATTCGTGAACTAAATCAACTAGAAGAAATAAATGGATTATATAATATAGAAGAAGAAAGCAAGGGTAAAACAAATAAAGATTAGCCAAGAATATAAATATTCTTCTAAATAATGCTATAATTGACCCTATAATTCTTAAAAATTTTTAATAAAAACTACTCTTTTTAGAATTATACAAGATCGGCACTACAGAAGATGGACAATTTGTTGCTATTTCGAGTACTTCAGGAACTTTACAAGTTTTTCTGGCGAAGATACCAATTTTAGGGGCTGTTTATAATGAATTTATGGCTATATTATCATCTCTTAATGAAATTACCATTATTCGAGAAGGAGAAAAAGTAATTGATGAAGAAAAATATTAGCGCCAGAAATAAACCAATTGAAACCAATGCTCTTCAATTTTATTAGAAAAATACGTTTAAAATAATTTCCACAACTTATTTTTTAGCGGCAGCAAGATCGAGTTTATTTCTTTCATTTTTTTTCCCTTTAATATTAACTAACTGCTGGTTAGACTCGCTCTGCTGACTTGTCGGACTAGACAAATATGCTAAAGTCTAGTGTCGTGATAGAAGTACCAGTCGCTAACATCACTTGGATTTTCGATAGGTTTTTTCATCTGCTGGGAGTGGAACCTCACTATCGGTTCTCCGAAAAGAACAACGCACTGATCCATTCTGCTCATCTTTGCTTTTTCCCTTAGACGAGACTGTCGACCCACAAGACGTGGTGCATCGCTATGACTTGAACTTTTGAACTTGATTCGCTGCCGATGCACTGGTTGCTTTCATACGGCCAAGGCTTTCGTTTATTATTCTCTTTTGATAGGAATAAACCTGTCATTAATGTGATATAGGGCTGGTGATGGGCACTGACCTGTTTTTCTATCTCCATGTGATGTTTTTACAAATATAATAGTCAATGCTCAGGCAAACCAGAAATATTTCAGATGTATGTAGTATGTAGACGAATGTACCAGAAATGATATTATGAAAAGCGAAATTCATTGTTGATTTTAGATATCTATTGTCTACTGTATTCTACTGTCGAAGAGGTTTTAAAGGCTTGAAAAAAAAGTGCACTGTACAATATATTTTTTCAAATTTTGTTAGATTTCTAATATGGTCATGTAAAATTTGTCGATTTTTTCTTTTTTTGTGCAGGTTGCAACCATTAATATAGAGCTGGAACCAACTGTGATAGGAGTTGGTCCTTTAAATGTAGCGATTGCTATGAACAATCGAGCATGGTTTTATGAGATGAATGAAGGCTCGCAAAACTTAGGTTTTTTTTCTTGTGATTTGTTTTTATCCATTGGAGATGACTAGTTAAACATTGATAAATCGTAAAATAATTCAAACATATTATGATAATTTTGATAAATTTAGTACTTGAGCAAGGTTAACAATAATATTGCATAATTATTTGATAATTTTAGATTCTGCTGTGGTTTATGAATTCGAATATATTTCTACAATAAATGCAATGAAAATGAACTACGAATTTGCAGTTGCAAAGTTGGATGGAAGAGCGCAATTGCACAAAGTTTATCAAATTTTGATTTTAATTTTATTTATTTCCTGAGAAGTTCCTCTCATCTCATTCCTCTTTTTGCCCATTTTAATCCCTTCAAACCCTTTCTTTAAAGAAATCTCTTTTTCTTTAAATCCCTTTAAAGAAATGAAGCCATTCTATTGTTCCTTTATTTCTTCAGTGATTGTAAAGGAGCATAATAGGATATTTACTTTTTGATGGATTTAACATGAGATATATTATTAATCTCGTGTCTGATTTGATAATTTAGATGAAAGGAAAGGATAACAGGTATGGAAGCGATGAAGATACTTTACTGTTTCCTGATTCAGACCATAGTAATTTTCGATTACAAGATGTTGCACTCACAGCAAATTTCCTCATTTATTGCACTGATGTAAAGTAATTTCGTGCTTCATTTTTTGTTTTAAAAATTATTTCCATTTGTTGCCTGGTTAATATTTTTTTATCGTATTAAAATATTGTTACTGATATCATCTAAATGATCGCTATCTAAATAGCGATTGTCTCGATAATATAAATAAATATGTTCGCCACTTTTTAGTATGTTCTGATATTATATTCTTATTATATTCTTTGATTGCAGGGTGGTCATTTGCAATATTTTGCTCTCGAAGATTCGACATGCGTTAATGAATATCGTCATGTAAGTGGAATAAAGACGATCTTCCCGGAACCAGGTGGTATACGGTTATGTTTTTTCGATGAAACTTTTGATGCCTATATTTATAACCCCGTCGATGATGGATTAGTCAAAGTGCCAATAGGATCTACTGCTCATGTAAGATAATTGATGAAAATTTATGTAACTTTCTTCTTGATTAAATAAGTTATTTTATTATTTGCGAGTGATATAATAAATATTAATTGATGGAATGTATATGCACAATTTTAGTTTGCATCATGTTTGTGGGAAAATTTTACGATTGATAAAGATACATTTGTAATTTGGGACTCAACTAATTTGCTTGCATTTTCTTTTTTGAAGGATCAAATTGATGGTAAGTTCTTTTTTTGTATTGTAATTTCAATTGGCGTTAATGAATATCGTCATATGAGTGGAATAAAAACGGAACCAGGTGGTATACAGTTGTGTTTTTTCGATGAAACTTATAATATGGAAATTCATTTAAGATTCATTAAATATAATTAAATAATGAGAAATATTTATTTAAAGTTATTATTTTCACGAATGTTGGCCAGGTGAAATCATATAATTGAGAAAAAAGGCATGAAATTTTTAAAATTATATTTCTAGGACAGTCTTTATTGCAACTTGGTAAAACAGCGATTCCCCATCAGTACAAACCATTGATGTTATGCAAGGGTATTATGTACTGCCAGACACAGAGTGGTCAGATAGGAAGTATTCTGTTGGAAAGTCACAAAACTCAGATTGCTGTCGATGACAAATCGTTTGCTGAAGTATTTTATATCTAGTTATAGCATCGCCACTTTCTTTCTAAGTGATCGCTAGAAAAATTCGTTTAAATTATTGAAAAACTTTACAAATTTTCAGATAGAGAACCTTCTGCAACAAACTTTAAATTTGAAAAGGTACTTCTGTCACTGGAATTTGAAGTTTGGCATTGGAAATTCGTGAAAATTTTATGCGAATTTATGAAAGGCCTTTAAAATATTGCCTATATTGACTTTAAATATTGCTTTTAAAATATCATTTTTTGGTTATCTTATCTGATTTTCCAATTTAAGACTTTTTGATATCAGGACCTTCTTATAGATGGATTTATGCATGGAGATTATGCGAACAGTCAAAAAATCCGTCATTTTGGCGAATATTTGCAGTCGCTGCTATGCAAAGCTTTAGAATTGATCTAGGTGAGTCTGAATTATGAAAAAATTTCTAAGTTTTGGAAACTTTATCATTCAATTGTCAAGTATGGTTTGAAATTCAAGCGCTGCCACATTTTTCTTACTTAAAATAGATATATCGACAATATCGAAAAAAACATTTGTTGTTATTGAGAAATAGGTTGGAATTGGAATTCTGCTAATTTTGCATGCAAAAGATTCCTGTTGTTGAAACGAAATTTTAATTAATTACGGATAACATTGTCGAATTGTATGTTGTATGTTGAATAGGTCAAGGATCCATTATAAATTTGGTTTATCTCCAAATTACTCCAGCGCCCAGTAAAACCAGTCAAACAAGATATGATGGAAAAATTTAGGTTTAATTGTTCCGCTTCAAATCCTTTACTTCCCGTCAATATTTATGAATAATTCATAATTTAATCCTTACCACATCGCAGTTTAATTGCCATTTTCAAAATTTGGTAACCCATTTATCTTACCAATAATGAACAATCTTCGGTCTATAGTGATATTCATTCATATATATATTTATTTTCAATATTTATTGGCTTTTTTTCTTAGGTTTATTGATTATGAACTTGAACTCAATAGTTAAAATATAGTAATGCCATAGTAATGCTAAAAAATAAAGTAATAATTTGAAAATTCAAATATATCCCTTTTTTCATCTCCTGTAGATGATATTCTATGGAAAATCTTGCTTTGATATGATGCTTCTCTTTCTGCAATGTTTGCTAATGCTTTATCTTCGACCTCAGGTTCTCGATGCCAGAGATTTAAGGACTTGAGGATTCCATATTTTCCAAATAACTAAATAAAATATTTTCTATTTCCAGCCTTTTGATGTATGCTGTTCATGCTTATATTTTACATTCTGCCACTAGATATTGGACTGTTTCTGGGACGTTTTTACGCACCTTGAACATTGTCTGATATGGTAGATGCTTGTTTCGATGAATCTGGTGGCCACCGCTTGCTCCTATACTCCTATAATCAATGCCTCTTATCTTTTAGTTCGGCTTTCTCTGGTGCGATTTCGCAATGTCAGCTATATATTGATAGTGGTGCAGTCCATAGAGGGCCTTACTTTGCCGTGGTATCTCCTTGATCATTTTCCAATCCTTGTTGATACTTCAGGCATTCTTTCAGTTCATTCTTTGTTGCCACCATGCTAATGCATTCCTTAATGCTTCGTTCAAAACGGTGGTTTGGCACTAAGGGCCACTCGTCTTCTTTCCAAATGTTGTACAGTCTTTTGGTGTTAAACTGGAGATGGAACTGGGAATGGGGTTAGACATTCAGCAGTCTCCATCTCTTCATTTATCCATCTCATTATACCTGCATATTTGATGACTGGCAAAGCGTATATAGCATGGATTTTGTCCTTCCCATTGACCTGGTTCTTGATTTGTCTTATTCTTTCTTGGTACTTAGATCTTCCTTGTCTCCTCATCGTGGCCATGCGACTGTGAGATACTAAGATTGGTTTGTATGTCCACTATATGTCTTGATGCCTGCCACCTATTATTACTTTTTTTCCTTTACTAATCTGGCCTAATTTCACTAAGACATCCTAATATCCTCTCGGTAAATTCGTGTTAAATGAGTGAATGAGTGAGTGATTCATGTGTAGATGTCTAGTTCACTTCTTGTTTATAGAATGATCTATGTAGAAAAGACACATGTTTATACGTGACTGATGGTAGTTTCGCTCTTGAACATATATTCGCTTTTTTTGATTGTCTGGTTGAGGGTGTTTAGGCCTATGCAGAACAGTAGCGGGAGCATATATGTTCTATTTGATAGCTTTTTATGAAAGTTGTTTTAAGTTAACTTCAAGTGTCGTTTTCCACAGTACCACCGAGTTCTTGAAGTATATATTTCTTTCTCATCCCTTGCGGGTGGTATGGCTCACCGTTTTTCTTCAATCTTGAAATCTTGAATACCAGAAGATCAGGAAATCGAAGTGAGGCAGATAAGGCTTCAGAGGTTCTTGGCCAAGGATCCTCATAGAAAGGTTGACTGCGTTTCGAACCGTTGTTGTTACTCATATGAACCACCTGCCTTAATTACTATGCTATTTTTGGCGCTGTATGTCTAAATATATATGTATATATATATGTGTGTATTAAAATAGAAATTTCTGCTTTTAGCTATTCGAATATTCAAACGAATCGATGATGTTGCAATGGTTTGGTGCCTTGAAGAAATTCTACACATTGAGGAGCGAAATCTATTAGCTGGCCATTTAGCTCTTATTTTAGAACAGTATGATGCTGCAGAACGTCTATTTTTACAATCTAGCAAACCCAAGGAAGCACTTAATGTACTGCAAATGAGTTTTTTATCATTTTTATAATTTTGTGAAAGAAATTTGTAGAGTTGATTTCTAATTCAGTAGAGATAATTTATAATTTCTCATTTTTGTATAATTAAAATTTAGATTGACTTAAATTTATATTTCCATCTTGCAAAAATGGGAATTAGAATTAAATTCTTATTTCAGCATTCTGAACACTGGTTTTCCTGGCGATATTTTAATTATTATATATTTGTTGCAGATGAGACGAGATCTTCTTCATTGGGATAAAGCTTTGAAATTAGCGAATCGATTCGCTCCAGATAAAATACCAAATATTTCGAAAGAATATGCAGTTCAACTTGAATTCATGTATTTTTTTAAATAAAATTATCACTAAATATCAGTTCTACACTCAATATCACTTTTCATTTTTGTTCTATGCTTGAACAACTTTGTTGCCATACATAATTCCTTTGGCTTTTTTTTGAAACGAAATTTTTTTCATCAGAGGAAATTATTTATTTTTACATCGTAAAAGAAATGGTTAGTGCTTACTATGCGCGTTTGAGGTCGCTATACTGGCGCCCTTATGAGAAATTTTTGCCAAATTTTGAGAGGCAGCACCTTCCGTTTCATTGCAGTAATTTATAGTTTGATAACCTTTCTCATCCTGGCGCTCGAGAACAGTTTTATTTTCAGCGGTGAATACACTACAGCGTTAACTTATTATGAAAGTGGTCTTATTGAGAATGTCGAGAATCTAACTGAAGAAGTAAATTTCTTAATGCTATTTTTGTTCAAAATTATTTAATTGAAATTATATATTATTCAAAAATTATGTTTCTATGTAATTTTTTTTCAAAAATCGTTTGGTCAATCTGTCTATTTTTCATGATTTTTTCAGCAGTTTTTTGTATTTTCTAAAAGAAGATCCGTGATTTATATTTGTCATCTATCTTAATTTTTTCCATTTGTTATAATTTTTCTATTTTTCAATTTTTTTTTTTCTCTCCATTTTGATGCGAAAAAAGAAAAATTGATCGCAGTATTCTTGAAAATTTTATCTTTATTTGTCGGCATTTTATCTTTATTTGTCAAATAATATTGATAAGGAAATTGATATGCTATTTTTAGTTATGGGATCACAATGAATTATGCAAGTCAGGGATTGCTCGAATGAGTATACGAATCGGAGATATTAGGAGGTTTATTCTGGAACAGTCATAATTTTTTTTGTTTTATCTTCTGCTCTTGTATCACGCTATTCCATTTTTCTTGGATTTCAGAGGTTTGCAAATTGCTAGCGAATTGCAAAGTAAAGCAGTTAAACGAGACTGTGCAATGATCTTAGAACAAATGAAGGTTACAGAAGATTAATATCTAAAATTACAATTATAATACTTAAATTTTTTATTTGTCAATTTATTATAATTACAATTATTAATATTTAAATTTTTTATTTGTCCATTTGTTTTTAATTTAAAATCTAATTTAATCTAAATTTAAAAAGAAATATAGTTTTTTGTTTATTAACCACTTCAAAACATTGAAACTCTGAAATATGAAATTCGTTTTATTACTTTTTACGAAAGCTATAGTCTATTTTTTCTGTAATTATATGAAACAATTCCCATGAGTTTCGATGAGTTTCTTGTTTAAACAAATTCATTATTATAAAATATTATAGAATTTTAATCGTCAGTTTCTAAAAAATAAAAAAATGTAATAATTGAGCATAAAACTTTGATATTTTTTGATGAAATATGGTATTAGGTATATAATTTTGAATATAATAAATTCCATCTTAAATTAAAGCAATATAATGAAGCAGCACACCTATATGAACTTGGTGGATTTTACGATAGAGCTGCTGCAGTTTGTTTAAAAGCAAAAAATTGGTTAGAATTTAATCACATTCTTTTTTAAGCTTTAAATGGTAATGTTTCACTTCTTTCATGTTTATCGGAATATTCTTTTTTTTCTTGTTTTTAAGGCTAAAATTATTGAGAATATTTTTTTGATTTTCAAAATATTCAAAAATTTATTCATTTAGATGATCGTTCCATTTATCTGCCTATTCATCATAGATAAAGTAAATAAATGTTGGCGTCCACTTTTTCCGGTTAGATTTCCTCTAGTGGTTATAATTGCGGTGAATTTTTGTCAGGAAATCACTTAGAGATAAAAGTACAATTAGGGCCCAGCATTACCAGTTTTATTTCTGAAGAAAGCAAAATCGAGGCGGTAATATGAAAAATAACTATTGGATATATTGCTTCCTTATTTTTCAATTGGATAAGCCAGTTCTTAGAAATAATTTCAAAATAATATGATTTTTTTATTTTCCATACATGATTTTGAAGATATAATAAAGTTTATAATAAAATTAATGAGGGAGGTAAAGTTGGTTATAATATAAAATAAAACTGGTTCTAGTATCTCCAAATTGTTTATTTGAAGCGCTTTTTTTTCACAGGACAAAAGTGGGCAATCTTTTGCCTCATGTTCGTTCGTCCAAAATTTATTCGCAATATGGTAAAATTATGGAAGGAGAGAAAAAATATAAAAAAGCTGCTTTGGTACGAAATTTTCTATAATTTTTAAATGTGAATATTGTGGAATTTCATAGGATTATCGGCGATCCATAGAAAATTCTCGAATATCTATAGCAGTTAGTGCAAAGAGATTGTTGTTATTTATAAAAGTAGATTTAGCAGAAGTAAATTGTCACTTGTAGGTGGCATTCAATTTATGGATAGTTTATAAACCAGTTTTTAAATCTGCTTTATCCATATAAATATATAAATTAAAAAGTGGTCTATTTGAAAAGGGTTTTTCTAAATTTCGAAATACAAATTTGAAAATTGATTTGAACAATTTTCTCGATTAAGGCATACAAAAATGCTAGAGATTACGATAATTTGGTTCGGATTCTTCTCAATCATTTGGATTCTCCAGAAGAAGCTGTGAAGGCAGTGAAAAGTAGCAGGAGTACTGAAGGTGCGAAACTTGTCGCCAAGTGAGTAATATATTTTTTGCAGAATAATTCGCTATTGTTTTATTTCTACGATATTTGAAGACATTTTATCACACAGGCCCATTCATTATTTCTATTCTCCATAGAAGAGAGGGTTTTGATGTGAAAAGTAAAGTAAATAAAATGATCTCATCAAGTCAAGTTTATGATTTCATAAATCAAAAGCATGTTATCAAGTTAAATTAAATTAAATTAAAATTAAGGTATAAAACATTACAGATTTTTTTCGAAACTTGGAGATCATGCATCAGCTATACAATTTTTGGTGCTTTCACAATGTCATCAGGTAGCTATTTTCCAAACGTCTTCAAGATGTATTCGTATTTCCTTTTTATTATTCTCCTTAAATATTCCCTGTTTAGAAAAGAAATTAAAAAGAGATTAGTTTAGCACAAATGTATGATCGGCTATGGGTCGAACTATTTTTAGGAAGCATTTCAATTAGCAGAAACTGAACAAAAAATGGACGTCTACGCTGAAGCTATCGATGACTGTGGTACAACGAGGCAATATATCCAGTTGGCTGATTCTTATGCTGCTGCACAAAATAATACTCAAGCTGGCAAATTTTATTTCAAAGCTGCTCAGTACAAAACGGTTTTTATTAAATTAAAACATCATCATCAATGTAAGTTTTTTTAAGCTTTTAGGAATTTCCGTACTCCCTACTCGAAATTATTCTAGGCTCTTCAACATCTATTGATAAATGGCGAAGATTTAGTTGCGATGAAGATTGCTATTGAATGTGTTGCTGAAGCTGGAGACCCAGAATTATCCAGGCAATTAATCGATTTTCTCCTCGGTGAGATCGATGGAGTACCAAAGGTTGGTAAATAGTTTTCCGCGTCATGTTTGAATGGTGGTTTAATCAGAAAATTATAACTCCTTAAAATTAAAATTTTTAGGATGCGAAATTATTATTTCGCTATTATATAGCTATGAAAATGAATAAAGAAGCAGCAAAAATAGCAATAATAATCGCGAGGGAAGAACAAAATCGTGGAGCTTATCGAATGGCTCATCGACTTCTTTTTGAAATGCAGCAGGAACTTATTCATGAAAAAATGAAAATCCCTGCTGAACTGGATAGCAATTTGATGCTTCTCCATAGTTACCTTATCATTAAGGTTCGTTAAAATTTCTTTTTTTCAAATTTTCATATCTTCCAAAAGTTTTTTCTATTTCTAATATTAAAATATTTAAAATATTTTGAAATTTATTATAGAATTTGGTGAAACGACGAGAAGACAAACGTGCTGCTCGCTTACTGATGAGAGTCGCAGACAATATTAGTTTATTTCCTTCTCGTTAGTTCAGTTTTGTTTTTCTCACCGAAACCGCTTTGCGGATGCATTTAACACATCCTTAGTACACTTTAATTTTTATTTAATTTGATTTTAATTTTTTAATTTTAATTTAATTTTTATCAGATTCGATACAAATTTTAACTTCTGCAGTTATTGAATGCTCAAAAGCAGGCATTGAAAATTTTGCATTCAAATATGCTGCACAGCTCCTCAAACCGGAAAATAGAAAAAAGATCGATGAAAAATATCGGAAAAAGATTGAAGCTGTTGTTAGGTGCTCGAATTTTGAATACTTTTAACAATTAACCTTTAGCAATTTTTCGTTTTTAAATTTTTTTATTCAAAAATTTCTTTATTCATCTTTATTTCAACCATATTTGAAGACATTTTGAAGACATCGCTATTGCTTTGTTTTATTTAATTCACTTCTTTCATGACGCAGAAAATCCGACAAAACGGTGACGAAAGAAGATATCAAAACTGCCTGTCCATTTTGCGATTATGACACAGAAGAATATAAGCTGACGTGCAGCTCATGCAAAAACCTCATCCCTTATTGCATTATTACGGTTAATAAAATTAGCATTCAAATTTTGATTAAAAAAACACTTGCTTGCCGATTTGATTTTTTAGCATTCAGTACTCGGGAAATTCAGCATTTTTTCTGATTTTTTTATTCGTTATTGTTTCATTGTCTGATAAAATGATATATTGTTTATATTTTGAAATTTATGACGATAAAATATTTTGCAGGGTCGACATATAGTAAATGGCGATTTCGCAGTTTGTCCTTCCTGCAATTTTCCAGGATATTTTTCTGAATTTATAAAGTAAATTTCTCACTTATGAAATATCCCAAAGAGTACGTTCAATAATATTTGCTTAATTAATTTTATCAATTATAGGTTGCGCGATCTCGATGAAAAATGTCCTATGTGTAATGGCAATCTTGGGCAAGTCGTGATGTCTTCTTCAGAAGATTACCTCAAGCAGAAATCCGAAAGAATCAAGTGAATACAAAAAAAAGAAAATGAAACAAAAAATGACCCTTAAAAAATCGGGAAATTCTATGGAATTCGAGAAATAAAATAAAACTATATGAAACTCCTCTAACTTTCATGTTTCAAGAATATTTCCAAAATTTGCCAATCAAGGATGACAGATCTGTTTTTTCGACTACAAGCTATAGCTATATTTTTAAAATTTAAAATTGTTTTAATAAAATAATTTATAATATTAATTTATAATATTTGCGACAATACTTTAACCCATTCTTTTATCTGCTGATGAAAAAATCTGGTTATATTGGTGCTACCCTTAGCTTAATGGTACATGCGATTCATTTCTGATCTCATGCAATACTCGAAAACGAATTACTGAACATATAATATGATATGGTACTTTCGTAATTGGGAATGGAAACATATAGTGTTTGTTACATATGCTCTGATTGCATTTAACGATTGTAGGCCTATGATCGATTCAAGGACAAGTTCTACTCTGTTATCATTGTTCTATCCCATTTTAAAGCTATCTATCCTATGATCGTTCTACGGGACTTTAACTGCATAAAAAGTGACATGCGCAGGGAAAACTACAATGCGAGGGAAGACTTTAAATATGACGGTGCTACTACATGAAGCTCTGTGGTTGGCAAATAGGGAGGGATAGGGAGAGCGTCAATGGATAGTACTCTTGCTGGGTGTCGGAAAATATAACCCAATTGCTCGAATAAAATACATATCCCTTGTATTTGTAACCATCTGCACCATTACTGAGAAGAACTTCATATACTGAAAGTTTAACTAATATGACGAAATGAATCAGTGCTTGGTTAGGGTTGGCAATACTGTAAGTTGGAATCGGCTGTCGACCCTAAATGGATTTCCAATGCCTTTCCAGCTAAAATAAAGCAAAATTTAAAAAAATTAAAAAATTAAGACTATTAAACTATTAAAACATTCGTTTATAAATATGCAAGGAATAGAAATGGTTTTTTGATTAATTATTTATAAATATTATAAATTGATAGTCAATTTTTTTTTGTCGAAGAAACTGGTCCTTATTGCTTTTCTCATTTTCATAATTTAATCTTTGATGTTTTCACTTTGGTATACTTTACGATAAAACATAAATATTTTATAATCTCCTTACTTAACCGATGAAATATTTGATAAGTGATAGATCAATTTGGTGCCCGCCATACCCTGGATAACCCGCCACAGGCCTTTTTGTGATTCCATCGTCTACGATGAAAACAAAACGGGATCAAGTTGCATTTCCCAAATAACCTACTGAAAAGGTCTTACTTTAGTGAGTGAAACCAAGCAAACTAGAAACAAAAAAGATTGAAAAAGAGTAAGTGATCAGCGGAACAAAGAAACGAAATCTATTTTAAATAAAAATTTTTGAAAATTTGGAAGAAACCCTTCTTTACTTCATTTAATTATATAAAGAAAGTAGTGGTTAAGTAAGTGATTAACGTTTCGGATTCTGGCTATCTCAGCTGGCTATTATATTAGTGCGAAGTTTTTGCTGGCGAATTACTTGGCGATGAAGAAATTGGAGCGACGGGGCTTTTTCACGCCAGGTTCATTCCCGTCAGAATCAGGAAATTAAATCGTAAATCTTCGACGCAGATCGAAGAAACCATATAACTCGACCATTTAATAAAAATGAAATCGTACTTTAATGTTTTCTGCTAAATGTGAACAAAGCAACCAGTTTGTTGAAATAAAATAAATATCCTTAAGCAATTTTTTGTCAAAATTTGGTTCAAAATATTTTTGAGTATTTTCTTAAGAAAAAAACCATCGAAGAGAAGGGAAAATAAACGATTTCTGAATATTTCTTAAATATTGCGCTTCACTGATTTTCAAACAACGAATTTCTTAAAAAATTGCTTAAAAAAATTTCTTTTAAAAATTTCTCTTAAAAATTAAAAAAATTTCTTTGAAGTCCTATTTTGACAAAAAAATCTACCAATGAATAATCGAAATAATAATACAAGAGGCAGTAAAATATTGGAACTTTCACGCATCCAAAACATTTCTCAACTCTGTGGATATATATTTATTGGCTCTTACAATGTCAGAGCTAATCTGTGGCCGAATTTTCATCGTCACTTTTTTCTCCTCTAAGAACACCATTTCCCGAGGTTCAGTTTTGTTGACTATTAAGAGATTTTTTTACCAGAGATTTGTCTGAAGACAGACAGTGCACAGTGGGCTGTGATCCTCCGTTACTTCTGCCAAGAACCAAAAATCGAACCCATGACACTCGTTGATCTCGCTTGATTAATCGAACTCAGCCGAATCAAAAAAACAAATCGATCATTCCACCTTTACTGTAACTAATCAGCATAAAATTGTATAAAGTTGTTGAGAAAAATAAAACCAAGATCGATATGAAGAAAAAAACGTTTAATCCAATCCATTCAGATTTTTCATCAGCCGAGAAATTCAAAACTTTCCGCAAGAAAATTTCTGCGCAAAGAAAGAGACAAACGTATTTATTTGAAAATTAAATACAATAAATTTAAATGGGACCTTTTAAATATTTTTGCACCGCATTAGCCAAATTAAATCGTAGAATGTACTTATACATATAATTAGATAAATGAAAAAAGAAAAAATTTCCTAAAACTTTCGTATATTTCCCAACTTATGATATGATAAATGATATGCAAAGAAATGAAGTCAACAGAACCACTTTCAATCTTCGGATGAAAGAAGTGTTATCCAAAGGTCTCTATTCCAACACTGCTGTTCCATTAACTTTTTCATCTGAAAATTCCAGAAATCCTTCCATGAACTACAATATATTTTATAACAGCGAAATATGAAAGAATATTTTATTACATTGAATTAAGCGAGACGATTTATCCACTTCGGGTGCAAAAAACTATTGGAAGTTTGGAAGTATGAAACAGGTCCTCGACCCATGAAATTCCTTCGTATTCTCAAATATACACCCATATCTGCCAAATGCCATTACATTTACAGAGCGGCATCAGTTTGGCAGAAAAAGACAAAGATATAGAGAAAAAAACTGTGGAGCTTGCATTGAAAAAACAGCTGTAACAGAGCGTAGCAAGCATATCTATGCAAATGGACAAGTAGCACTGCTGAAGTAGCACTGCAATGCGATTGTATTGCGATTTGTCCATTCTGGGGCCACTTGCATGGATCGATGCATTCTCATTTTTCGCACTTCTAGGAGTGGACGGAGTGAAACTCAGCAGAGTTAAAGAACCCTTTCACCCGTATTAATAATAGACGGTTGTGTTACTGATTATTCGCAGTCAGTGGTCTTTTTCATCGCCATTCCTCACTGTAAAAGACTCTCAGTGCTATTGTACTTTTTAAAAAAACATCTTAAGAATATTTAATGATTTCTTATATTTTTTTAAATGAAGATGTGAAAATAATTCTCACATTAAGGACGCATATACTGAAGAAAAATAAAAAAATCGCTGATTCAAAAAACCGCCGATAGCATATTTGAGTAAATGCTACGAAGCCGAACACTTACTTTATCACCATACTCCATCAGTGTTGGTATACATGTCAATTTAAAATGTTCATCTTTTCTGAATGGATTCTCTTTGTCTTTCCAGCTGGAAAATGAAAATAATGGTTTAGAAGCTATTCGAATTTTATAACATCATTTTATTGATCATAATTTTAAAAAATTAAAATCATATCACGGATGGTCGTTATAATAAACCTGAATTTTTTTGATTTGAAACCATATGCCAGCAAGTCGTGCAGATTATTTCAGTTCCACACGTTATCTTTTCCATTTATTTTATGCTCTTTTGCGACCAAAGAAAAGGCAAAAAATTACGATAAATAAGTTAAAACAGATTTGAGAAAACAGATAATGCAAAAAGTAAAAAGCCCTACTATTCTCTTGATGCGATCAGACATTTGACAAATAGTAAGTCATTTGTCAAGTGAAGACCCAAACGATCCGCTCCTGGCTCCGTATTATAAGATAACAATGCATCCATTATTTCTTTTGCCACTGGATGAGCTAAAATTACAATTCTTTTATCCAGTTATTTTTTTACCTTCTTATAAGCGTTCGTATTTGCAGTGAAGTATTAACACCAATTATATAAGATTATTGATGATCTTCCTCAAGGTTTCCATATGTTCCAAATAAAAGAAAATACCTGAAACGCAATCTGGACACCAGCTTTTGCCATAACCATCTTCGGAAGCAGAAAAGTATATAACAGTACGAATTTTGCTCTCTGCCACAATCTTTTTTAGTTCATCATAACCATTGGCAACTACAACCTTGATCACTGCCATCTTCACTTGACTTTCTTATCTATTTCTTATCTAAAACGCTGCAAAATAATGAAAGCTCGGCGATATTGTGGTGCTTAAGCCCAAATCCAATCTGATTCATTATTCGATTCATTATTGGCGACCGAACGGTTAATGTCTTTTATCATCATCTTTCATCATTCATTAGTCCAAGATAATTGATCACAAATTAACTGCCAATTCGAATCTAGCTCATCAACTGATTTTTTTGCGGCCTCACTTGCCTCACAGCTTCTGTACTTGCCATTCGGCGACGCTGACGCCGTAATTTAAACTTTAAAAGCAAAGGGGTGCCTTCTCCTATCTACCTACCCTCGCCATCGAACTTCATGGCCCGTCTTCGACTATACGGAAATATTCAACATGGACAACAGCCAAGTACCAAACTTCAAAATGAGGAAGTGTACGACAATTTATCCCCATCAGTGATCAATAAGCAAGCAGCAACCGTCATACAAATACAAATACAAATCACTGCGTGCACTCACTTAAAAATGTAACGCAAATGCATAATTTATCAAGGAATGCGAAAACATCGCCGATGTTATTCATCTGATCCTCGATTTGAAGCAAAGCGTTATCAGAAAAAGCGAAAATTAGGACAATTAGAACAATAAAATTTATCAAATGCATAAAGAAAATTCGGCAAATCGCGAAAAACTGAGCGCCATTCGGCAATTATATTTTCAATTATAAAATCAAATCAAGTTTGTGCCAAATTGAGAAAATTTCGAAAGTCGCCAAAATATTATTTAACTGTTTAATATTGAAACGGCTTATGTCAATATTAATTTATTAGACGATTTAAAATAAGGATCAATTAATATTTTACAAGCAAAAAACTTCGCCGGCAGTATTTCTTAGCCTGGAATGGACTCCCATTTGAAATTGTACAAGGCTACCACTCTTTTATATGCCCTTTTCCCCAGTAGCCGCGACGTAAGATGCTAAAAAAAGAAACTTAGCGAAAGAATATTTTCTAGCACGAGCTAACAGCGAAATTTATTTTATGAAAAGCTTGAGAGCCATTATTTTAAATAAATTATAACTTAACACTCCGTCAATTAGAAATTGTTTTCAGTGCTTATTTGCAGTTTTGTTCGGAATTCTTCATGCTAACACTTTTCGATTCAATTTTCGCTCAGGTTTTCATATACTACCAAATATATAAGGTGAAAGACAGTCGAAAGATTGTTGCTCAGATTACCGCCTAGAGATGTAATCTACTTCCAGCATGAAAAACAAATTAACTTATCAATAAAGAATCCGAGTGATTTTTGGTGGTGACTGGTGATGATTTGTATTTCGATCGCCAAATGCCTACCTAGCAAAAATTTCTAACTGAGCGAAGTGTGGGCCTAGCCGGAAAAGGTAAACGTTAACCATTTAATTTTTTTTATTAGAAAATATTCACGATATAATTCTAAAATGACCCTAGAGAAGCGGGGCTTTCGGATATTTATAGTTAGAATCTCTTACCTCTAAACTAAAATGTAGATTTTTTCAATGAAACTTATCTACATAAAATAAAAAGAATAGAGATGTAATCAAGGTGTGAAGAATTCGTTTAAATTGGTTTTGCTTCAAAAATTGCTTAAATTGCTTAACTTCAAATTGCTTAAATTCTATTATGTGATGATTGACACATGATAAAAATATATTACGATGTGCCCAAAAATGTTGGCCGTTGGCGAAAATATAACTTCATAAATCATTCTGCGTTTCACGAAACTGCTTTGGAAAAAGGACGAATCGCACTCGAAGATATTTTGAAGATAAAATAATTCACCTTTGAAGAAAATTGAAGAAATTTGAAATTTGAAATTTAAAAATTGAAGAAAACCTTCAAATTACATTACAATCAAATTCTTCTAGAGGTAGATATTGGATTGATCAGGTAATGTAACAACAAATCATTAAATCATTAATTAAAGGTGATAATGGTGAAATAAGAACCAAAATAGAAATTTAAATGGAGTTTAAAGACTGGAATTCGATAACCTCAAGAGACTGGAAAGAAACCTGTGATAGCTAGGTCTCAGTCGAACAGGTCGATTCGACTATTTTACTCCTAATGGACGACCATAAACAATTGTATTACTACCAATTTAATCTTAAAAAAGAAAGATAACTTTTTTAAATATTCTTTCAAGGTGATGTAATATGATAAAAAAAGAATTATACAGCGCAAAAGCATTAAGAACCATTGTTCTATAGCAAAAAAAATCGAAAATTATTTTGATTAATCTAATCTGTTTGTTGAAAAATTTTCACAAACAAGTAAAATGAGACCTAAATAATAAAAATATTAAAGCAAACTGAAACAAAATAGTCGTAATAAAATAATAATAAAAAATAAAATATTTCATAGTATTATGAATAGAGTTCTTAACAATGCATCAATCCGAGATGCTTAACAGAAAATTCTGGATTTCTTAAAAATTCTAGTCCCAATAAAGCTACAATTTTAGATACCTCATATCTCAATTGTTCTATTTAAAACATAGATATAATAATCAGAATCAGTGGAGTACTTTACGACAGCTTAACCATATAGCAAATGCTTTGTCCTGATTAGAACGCCAATCTGCAGTACTTCGCCACGGAATCAAAACTGAATCTGTACGTTGCCTTTGTGAAAAAGTACAATCCACAAATGGAGGAAGTGAATGATAATCTAGTCCTAGCCACGCCGTATGTGCGATCATGACTCCATTATCGATGCAAAATCGTTCATCCGTTGCATATAACTTTGCATCCCTAAAAACAGTTTGGAATTGTTTTTTTTTTTTTGAAAATTTAGTTAGAGTTCCCTTTTCTTTCTTCTAATCGTTAAACGAATTTAATTTTACATACAACAAATAATCTTCTGTTTTATTTTGTTAGCAACCAGTTAGAAGTCTACCTTTCTTGTGCCATAATATTCATCATTTCCTGCAATCGCTGATTACATCCCACTCCACCAACAACAAGTACTTCAGAACTGTGACAGTGGGCCATTGCACGTTCAGTAACTTCAACAAGCATGGCAAAAACGGTTTCCTGAATTTGCAAATTTTAAGTATTAAATATTTAAGTAATTTTTAAGTAAATAATTTTTAAGTATTTAAATAGATATATATGGAACTTGCTAAATATTTTGAATACATATTTGCTATAAACCACAAAAAGAGCGAATAATAAACTGAAAGGAAAAAAAATAAGAAAATAACCTGCAGAGAAAAGCATAGATCGGCAATGGTACATTCACCATTTTCCACCATTGATAAACCCTGCTTTTGGAGAAAAGAAAGAATTCCAGAAAATGAAACATCCATTCCTTTTACAACGTATGGTAGGTTAATTAGCTTTTTGCCTTTAAGAGCAATTTGTTCTAGATTAGAGGCTGGAAATGGCTCATTAGGCAAACTGATGGTACGAGCAAATCTAAAACAGAAACGAAACAAAACAAACTGCTTCGTTTGTAAGTATCCAAAATACAAAAAAAACATTATTTACTATATAAAAGGCAAAAAGGCTTTACCTGTCAAGGCAATTCCCTACTGCAATGTCTAAAGTTTCACCAAAAATTCGATAGTAACCATTTAAGTATGAGATGACCTAAAATAATAGATGCAATTTTTGAAAAAACCTAATGAGCAAAATTAAATTAGCAATAAAATTACGGTTTCTATCTCAGCTTTTTTTCGAACTCTACAATTTTTTTGCATCATTTTTTTGTTTTTTCATTGTTATTAGTAACAATTCTTATATTAACGTAATATATTATTAATTAATAATAATATATTTTATTATTAATAACAATTCTTAAATCATTAAAAATAAAATTTTTATACAATATACTGAGCAAATAAAAGAGCAAAATTTCTATGGTGTTAAATTAATAATAAATTACTGAAAATAATGAATTTACCTGAGTATTACCACCGCTAACATAAAGCACAATTGGATTATCTGCACCAGTGATAAAGCGACCCATTTCAATGTGAGCAACACAATGATTAACGGGCAAAAGAGGAATATTCCAGACTTTTGACAGGGTTCGTGCGACAACTGCACCAACCTGTAGACAAGGTCCCATTCCTGGGCCTTTGGTATAAGCCACAGCATGGATTTCTTTACTAGCATTCTAAAATAAAAACCGAAATTGACTATTAAAATTAGATAATTTTTCTAAATAATATTCACTTGTTAAATAAAAATTGAAGTGTTATTGATAAAAATTGTTCATTAAAATCCAGTACAATACAAAATTATTAATTCGAATGTGACTTCGATTTTAGCTTCTTCAAGCGCACGTTTTACAATCTGGTTGATTTTTTGTCGATGATGTATAGCTGTTTCAGTAGGGCGAAATCCTTGACCAGTCGGAGCATGAAATGTTTCTCGAACATTTGCTATCACCTACATAAAAATGAAAATTAAAGAAACAAAGCATAAATGCTAAAATGATTAAAAACATTGTGATGAATGGAGAAGCATGCAGATATACCAAAGAAATATGAACATAACGTTACAATACTATTTTCATAACATAAAACAAAGATTACTTCTCTTCCTCTGATTATACCAACAGCAATTTTATTCGCACTGCCTTCAATACCCAAGATGCAAGCATTATCCATAAACAACGACCTATCGAAAACGATTCTCTCTCAAAATTCGCTCACCTTTCTAAAAATATAAATTTTAAGATCAGATTTCTGTAAAAAAAACAGTTTATTAATAAAACTAAGCGATATGTTAAATATATTTGAAAGCATACCTGAATTAATTTTAAAGACCTTTCTTCGCTAACTCCTTTATTTTTCGAAAATTCTTCTCGGACACGATTTCGAAAATATTCTTTGCAAGTATAAACAAAATTATCAGCGTTTCTTAATAATCTTTTATAAAGTGAAAGAACTTGTGCTCGAGGCATACAGTAATGATGATGATGATGATGATAAATGAAGCACTTTTAAGAAGAAAAGCACTCTTTACTTTGACTGCAAAAAAAACTAACTAAAATAATTTTCTGAGAAATATAGGATATTCCTTAAAGTAAATCAAAGAATTTAAACTTTTCATGGATCAGTAAATTAGGAAAAAATACTTTATTAGATAGGTAGAAAAAAAATGATGGAATAAATGAAATTTGGAATTTAAATAATTTTAAATATTTTAATTTTAATAATGGAATTTTAGATTAAAATGAAATGTTAAAAAATAGACCAAAGAAAAAAATTACTTTGCATTATAATTCGATGAGAAAAAAGAAAAAATGAAAATAATTCCAAAAAGAAAAAAGAAATATCCTTAAGACAATTTATTAAAATAATAAACCATTTAAAATAAAAGGAATAATGCAAAAATCACGTAGCTTTCAAATTTTCTGCTAAAATTCCTGCTAAAGCATAAAAATTTATTTTTTTTTAAGGAGAGGATAATTGACCTAAAATTTAAAAACTTCCCTAATTAAATGGTAATCTTAATAAGATTTGTATTTTGGTAATAATGATAATTTGCTACCATAGACTCATAATCAGAAATAAATAAGTAATACTAACGTTCATCGTACTTTCACTGCTAAAGAACCTGAGTTTAAGACAAGACAAATCACAATTCCATAATAATAATCAAACCAGTTTATTTTGTAAAAATTAAATAATCGAATCCTTTTTAGATAATTGAGAAAAAATGAATGCAACAGGCAATTGCACATAATAGTCTTAATTTTTTGGTTTATGTTTTTAATTATTTAATAAACCTCGATTTGGAACATAATGACATAAAAATCGTCACATTACAATTTCAGAAATGATAAAGAAGAAAAAAAAGCAAAAATTATAAACGAGAAGCACAAAAAACTCGGGTAATTTAAGAGATATGATTTTTTCAAATATTTATGTATAAATAGAAAAGTTCAAAGTTAGTACTGTTAGTAGATGATTCGAAATACAAGTAAATGCAAAAAAACCTTATTATGTTTGATAAATTTTTCACTAAAAAAAAAATCAGATTAATAGTTTTGTTCTCTTAAATTTTCTTTTTAATATGGACCTATTACATAACTTATTTTCATCCTCTTATAATAAAGAAAACGTATGAAGAATAAGCTAGAAATTACAAACGGTATGACCCATAAAGCATAAAAAATCCAACTTCTCTTGACCAACAGCAACGTTCCCAACTGAAAAAAAAAATTAAGCAAAAGATTTGAAAATTTGTTGGATATAAGCTCCATCGCAGTTAGAAACAAAGAAATAAATATCAAAATTGAAACAAATGAAAATTTAATCGTAATTTAATCAAAATTTAATCAAAAATAAAATAATCATTTAAAAATTCACCAAAAAACCGATTCCAAATAGCACAGCAATAATTGAAATAACAGCGGATAAAAGAGCACGATTATGTGCATACGGTTCACCAACAGATGACCTAAAGTGTTAGTTCATGAGAATTACCGAATTACCCTTTTTAAATTATACATTCCACTTCATTTTATGATCAAGATGTTCGATTTATTTATTCACTAAAATAATAAATAAAAGTACATTATAATTAATTAAAGTGTAGCGAAAAAAACCAACACTTTTTTACAATGTGGACATTTCGCAGCAGTATTGTTCATTGTATTAAAGACAAATTCACCATCACAATGACCACAGTTAACTCTTTGAGTGCCAGCTGGTGCACTGAAAAAGTTCAAACTTCAAAAAATTCTATAATTTTCTGACTTCTTCATTTCCTCATTATTCTTGTTATTTACAGTTCTATTTTTATAAATTCCAAAAAAGGAAAGTGCTATTAATGCATTTAAAAACCGAAATTAACACTAAAAAATAAATGCATTTAACTAAGAGTTCCTGAAGTTTTACGCATGAGGAATAAATACCGAATCGACGCGCCAGGAGGTTGCGTTGCACTTAAAGTAATTACTCGTTGACAATTTCGACGAGGACAAGCAATACGATTTGAAGCAGCTCTACAAAGCAAGAGGCAATTGCACGGACATCTCACATATTTTTTACCTGGAGGCGCTGCACGTATCGGTGTTGCTTCTTGGCATTGTGTACATTTCACGACATGCTGATTACTCTAAAATTTTTAATTAACGATAGAATCTGGATGTACATCAAAAAATTAGATAAAATTAGAAAACAAAATTAACAATTAACAAAATAAAATTTTAAAAAAGTCATAAAAAGATTAAATAATAATCTACTTTTTCTCCAATAATAATTGTGGTTGAACAAACTCGACATGTAACACTTGGACCAGTCTGAACCACTGAATTCGGTGCATTAGTTGCTGGCTGTGTGGGTTCCACACAAATCTCTTCATGCAGATGGGCACTCTCTTCTCTACCTTGATCCATATATACTTCTTCACGTCTTGGTTCGGTGGAATCATATTCTGTTGTAGGAGAAAGATGATCGATTAAAAGTGGTACATTTTCATTATTACCTTCGTTCCCACTGTCGAACATCTGCAAGGGCTTTGAATCAAGAATTCCATCAATTTAATCAAGTTAAATTCGACTTTATAATTTTGTTCAATATATAAGATCTAAATTATAAAACAAATGTTCCAAATCGTAACGCTTCAAAAAACTTTCTTATCCATTTCAACCTTTGATGTTTGACCCCTTAACTTCCCCTTGATTTAGATGAATGTAGAACCATAAAATATTTCACCGATATTTCCGAGACCATTTCTTGGTGATAAATGCATCATATCCAACAATTTGAAACTTACTCACAAATTCTCATAAATTTTAAAGTCAATTTTAATTAGAATTCTGGTGAAGCATGATTGATATATTACTATGATATATTTGAAGACATATAGACACGGATTTAATGATTACGGAATTGGAAAAAAAAAATTTATTCAAAAGAAAAAGCAACTAAATAATTATTTAAGAAAGAATTTATTGTACAAACAAACATTTGGATAAAAATAAAAATCATAAAATTAAGTAGTTCATATACAAAATACTACTTGGATCAAACTTGTAACTTATATTTCTAACTTCATTCAACAAATAGACCACTTACTAATTACAGATTTTGCTTTGGACCATGATATCTAATTGATTTAGGAGAAAATTAAGTTTTTTGCTATAAAACAATGTGTATTGATTCATACAGAACGATCTGTAGATCTTTTAAAAATTTCATTTTTACTCTCAAATTTTAAACACATTGTTACACGAATCGAACCAAGTCTAATATATAAAACAGAGAAAATAATAAATATTAAAGCTAAAATATCCGTATTTCCAAATATTCATAAAGAATGAATGTATAATGAATGTATATATATATAATTTAATTATTTCCATGCTAGATTTGACTAACGTTTAATAAATCAATATTCTTTTAAATTTATAAAATTTCACAGCAAAAATATTAAGCAAAAAATATATGAAGAATTTCGAGCACAAATAGTGAAGAAGCGCTAAGAAATATCCGCCTGAAAAATAAAATCATTAAAAAAAGAAATGACGATCATCTCATTTTCCACAAGAATTAAGCCCAAAATAGATTTGGAAAAAATAAAATGAAATGGGAAGCCACTTGCAAAACTCTGAAAAATGACATCCGATTCAATCAATGAGAAAAATAACTTACTTTTAATGAATCACTTGATCCATTTTCATTCGTAACTTGTGATGCCAGATGATAATGTTGCTTTCGAAGTTGAGCAAGTCTCGCTCGTTCCTTATTTAATTTCGCTTCAAGTTCTAAAGTGCGTACTTGACTTTCCATCTCTTCTTTTTTGGCCTCATGCAATTTGAGATGACTGAAGTCCAAATTCTCTTAAAAAAAAAAAAGTTAAATAATTTTAGATAATTTTCAATGAAAAAGATATTTTAGAACAAAATAGAAGAAAACTATTAAGTTCATACCTGAATCACTCAACTTAATCTGGGCATTTTTGACAATAGCGACGACGTTAGCTGTGCAAGAATTGACATTTCTCGAAGCAGCAGATAATTCAGCAAATCTTTGTGATTCTCGATCCGCTTTGACTCGTGATGAAACATAAAGCTGAGCTGTACTTGCAGCAATTTCTTGTGCAGCAACAATCAAGTGCTCCAATTTTCCTTTACCAGTAATAACACCATCAGCGCATTGCCTAAATTAAACTGCTGGCGTGTGAAGCAAAAACCTAACCACACTTCTGAAGTGCAGTACCTCAGCAATTAAGAAACATGGAAAACGGTGAAAAACCTCGTTTAAATGCATTCATCGGTAGCCTTTTCAAGGTCGTAAAGCAAAAATTTAAACAAAACATAAACATTATGAATTTTTTGCTAATTTGTTATTTTTCTAAATACCATTGCAAAATCTTAATAAAACTGAATTATATTAAATTTATATATATATATAATTATATAATTTTACATTATATAATTATATAATTTTATATTATATAATTATATAATTTTGAATAATCTCTCATAGATTTTGTTCAAGATTTTCTGTTGAAAATAAGCACAAAAATTCATAAATTTTTCTAATTTTAGCAACATAAAAAATCTTACACGAAAACAGATGCCGCAACGCCGACTGCTTTTGCAGCTGATATGAGGCCTTCAGTCCACTGATGATTGCGTTTATAATACTCCGAAGGAGAGGCCGTACCCTTTCCTAAAGCGATAATTTCTTCTTGCATTCCACGACTCTTTTTAACTAACATAACTATTGCTGACATAAGGGCATTGCAACAATCCAATATTTTCTCATTGACTTCAAGTCTAAAATAAAAATAATCATTTTAAAGTAACAATGAATTAATTCACTAAAATTAAAAATTTTTAATTTTTGAATCAAATTTTAAAATACCAAATCAGAAAAATTTTAAGGATATTGGCTTTACAATCTTTAATTTTCTAAAAATTTAATTGACTGAAAAAATATGCCTAATTCCCGAATCTTTAGAACGACTAGTTTTCTGCATTTCTTCTATCATCGTAACTGCTTTTTGGATGGCGGCATCAACTCTTCGCATTTCTGCTTCTAATTCCAGACCTACAGCATCTTTGTTGTATTCATTCGACACTGGTACATCCATACACAACTGTTCAAGATATTCCAACGACGCCTAAAATTGCAGTTCAATTTACCAAAATGTTATCTATACTTTTAAATAGAAAATAGAAATTAAAAAATGGTTAAATAAGAAATTATGAATGAATCAAAAAAACTTTTAGTTTCGGAAAGGCTTCCATCTTAACATATTCCAAATTTAAGGATTGCAAATAGCTAAAAGCATGAAGTGCATCAGCGCTCACAATGCGACATTGTTCTTGAACAGCTGAAATTGAAAAATGTGTAAAATCGTTGTCGGAAAAAAATGGATTAATTCAGAAAATTAAAGAAACCACAGATGTACGTTCAAAATGTTGAATAGATCGAGTGTATGCAGCTGCTGTGCAATTGACAACAATATTTGCAGTAGCATGTCCGAAAACAGCTAGCGAATACAATAAAGCAGAACTAATTTCTTCTCCAATCAATTGGATAAGATCATCCAACGATTCGATGACCAATCGAAGAGCAGGAAGCGATAGTTCTAAATGATTAAGCTCCTAATAAATTTGAACTCATCTAAAATCAAAATTTTTAAGAGCAAAAATAAAAAAACAACTTCGAAAATGCTAAAACAAACAAAGCGAAAACAAAAAAAAGTACGAGATGGGTAGGAAATTGAAATAGCACTCTGTAGTTCATCACAAGACTGCTGAAGAATATTTTTGAAAGCTTTGCATAATGATGCTGAAAAGAAACATAAATATAAAAAAAAAGATAATCGTATGGAAAACCGGATAGCGAACTTTAGTAATTATTACTGGGGGAGTCTAACTAATAAAGTATGTAAAATGAAATGTGACTGACGCTAAGATTTCAACTGTAGTTCTAATTCTCTCATGGAAAGCTTTGCATAATGATGCTGAAAAACCTTATCTTAGTAGGCAAACCAGAAGATATTTTAAAAAAATCGTTATTAATGATTTAATTATATGCAAACCAAATAGATGGTTTTGAGTATCACGCAGTAAAAGTGCTGATTGTTTTCTAAGTTCATCCATTTGATTTCGTGAATCTTTTTCAATCGTTTCAATTTTCTAAACGATTATTTTGATCTTCAAAGAGCTTTAAATTGTACAAAAAAGTACAATGAAAGAAATCAAAGAAAAACTCGCACTTCTCCAAATGTATTTCAAAATAATTAATTATAATTATAACTTAAATAATATATGGTGAGATGGAGGAAGAAACGTGGATAACACATTATGACGTGAGCACAAATGTTATTAAAAAATATGGAAACCAACCCACCAGCACTTTTTTTACAAGCACTAAACACTGACACAAACACTGACCATGTTTTCAAATTATTTATTTATTTATTTAATTATTTATGGAAATAAAATAAAAAATCACCTTTTTCAAAATATCAATTTCAATTTCACTCTCGGCTAAACTGCTTCTCACACCATCAAGAGCAACAGAAGTCAGATTAGATTCTTTTTCAACGACTAACTTTTCACATTTTATTTCATCCAATTTCATTTCAAGTTTGTTTATATTTTGTTTCAGGATTTCTTCATTTTGGGCTGAACTTTCCCGTAATTCTTCTAAGCGCTAAATCATAAAAACATTAAATAAACGAAAAAAAAATGCAGACCTAGATTAATATAAAAAAGCTGCCACCTTATTTTGATCATCAAAATTGATTTTCTGCTTAGTTATTTCAACTTCTAGATTATGGACATCACTTGCCGCATTCTTAGCGTTTTGTTCCATCTGTGCTTTCTCTTTTTCCATTTCCAGTATTTGTTTTTCTAATGCACAAAGTATTTCTATCTTATTTAGTCGTTCTGTATTACTTATTTCGAGCTCTTTTTGAGTATTGGAAAGTTTTGTTAGAACCTATAAGAAGAAAAATAAAGCAAAGACAAGCGAAACAAAAAACTAGAGAAAAATAGTCGAAAATGAGAATCACATTAATATGTTCCTGTCTAAGAGCTGAATATGCTGTTTTCATTTTTTGGAAGTTCTGCTCACTATTTTGGGCCTTTCGCTCAATGTCTTCAAGTCTAGATTCTTCAATCACACTTCTTTCCACAGTAATAGAAGCAAGTCGCAATCTTTCCAATTCTTCCTAAAAAATTTTTTTGTGATATTAAAAAAATAATGAGGTCTTTAAACATATCATTTTCACCTTCATCTCGTCCATCAAATGCTTATTATTATCATTTTCCAACTTAAGCTGCACAACTCGATTTTCATACTGCTCAATGCGCGAACGAGCCTGCAAAAAGATTCATTGACTAAAAATTCATTTAATTAATCATTCTACAAAAAGTTCGAATGTCACCAATCTTTTTTGGCAGGTCGATGGCGTAGTGGTAAGATATTGAGCCTTCAACTGTCTTAAACTGAATCAGGTCGATGCAGCATGCTTCATCGGCAATGCCGCCTAACGAAGAAAGCTAATGAGGATAGAATGGCTAAGTGGGTTGTTGTTTAATTTCGGAGCTATGATGCTAAGTTTCTACTCCCTGTAAGAGTAAATTTGCCCAAAAATCTGAGTGATGCTGGCGATTCACCTGTATCATCAAAAAAATTCTTAATATATTTATTTACTCCGACAAGCTGGTGGAGCTAACCTAATACTCAACCAATGGTGGATGAATATTCTTTAAAAAAGGCCCATCAACACAGAATAATTATCAAGATTTTACTAACCTCATTCAATATCCGCTCATTGTTGAATCGAGCATCTTCAACTTCAAGTCTAAGATTTTCAATAACAGCATCTCTTAATTGATAATGATTCTTAACAGCTAATATTCTTAACTGAATATTGACAAAAAAATATAAAAAAATGAAAATGATCAATGGGATTTTCACCATAAAATGTGCATAACAATATTAAAATTTACTTAGCATCCTGCTGTAAAAAATTTTCTTGTTCAACAGTTGGTAGATCTGATATATCAACAAGGCTATCATCAATAATTGAATGGCCATCGGGAGGTGTATCGCATTCACTCACATTATCTCCACGTAAATAAGCTTGCGGAGTCTGATAGGTATCAAGATCCGATGCCTATGGATTTTCTAGGTGAAAAAATATATGACATAGTTTACTGGTGAAGATTGGCATATTTTTAGATTATAAACTTCCCAGTTTTTCCTTTATTTTTGTTTCAATTAAAAAATTGTTTCAACATTGTAAAAAAATAAACCTGCAAAAAATTCGGTGCGTATGAAGGTAATGATGGAATTGATACCAGAAATTTGAAATATTGAAGGTTTGATGCCTCTTCATAAAATTTTTTCATCTTACAGAAAAGACCACTGAATCGTTCGCGGTGACCCGAAAGAGCATCAGCAGGTAATTCTACAAAAAGATGGATAAAAAAAATGAAAAAATAAAAAATGAAAAATGCGAAAAAACATTATTAAAATAATTTGCAACTACGGTTTCTGCATACAATTAAAATTAAAATCAAGACTAATAAATTTAAAAGGTTAGCAACGGACTAATAGAAATAGCAAAATGAAATTTTGATCAATATCATAACATCTACTCCACTTTTTTTTTTTAACTAAGCTGGTTAATAGCAAATAATTTAAATCATTAAAGAAGTTATATTTTGGTAATAAATTCTCGTGAAAATACTAGTCTGATACATAATATGGAAAACTTACGCGAGTGAAGTTTGAAAATTATTTTTACTAGATAATCATAGAATTTGCTCGTATCAAGAATGACTAGAATAAGTGGAGCCAATAAACACTGACCCTGTGGCACCAAGGAGCTCCATCTCACGACTTCCATTGCATTACAAACTAAGTCAACTGGTATTAGTAAAAGTATTTTCTTTAATTAAAAGAATGACAAAATATAAACAACCAAAGCAATAAACTGATATAAAAATATATCAATAACCTGTTGTTTGTAACGAAATCAGATCATCTAATTGATCCAGCATTTCGACAGATAACTCAAAAGACTGATTTACATCTGCATTCGCCAATGTATTTATTTGACTTTCAGGTAGATTTAAACTACCGGGTAAAGACCCATTCTAAAAAAATAAAAAGTGCAAAAAAAACAAATTTATGAATATTATAGTAATTTATTAGCAACATTCTGTATTTTTTACAGTATTTCACCATAATATTTTAATATATACTAATTTACTACCACGAATCTCTAAAAAAATTATTTTTCTGGATTTCAGTAAAAAAATAACTCAGATAGTTGACCACGTATATTCAAAATCAAGTAAAAGATAAGTAAAAGAAACCCTTTTATGGAAATTAAGCCGGCTGACAAGCATTCGACAATAAGATGTATTGCAAAGACCATATCCGGAAGAATGAAGATGTTGCCAAAAACTTCCTAGTTGCACAATTCGTTGAATATATTGTAGTGTTTCATCAATAACTTTACGATGACCATCGCGTATGAGCTGAAAAAATTTCAAATTATTTTAATATAAGCAAATTTACATGGTTCAAGTTTGGAATAAATCCCCCCTAAACAACTGCTGAAGACATTCAAAGAGATGTTTGAGATCTTTTTTTTATCTCATTGTAATTTCATACGTTTGTTTTGACAGTTTGTTTCAAATGCTCCATGCGAAAAATGTTAGGTATTTTGTTTCATTCTTATTCTTTTAATTTTTTTCGAGTTCACAATGTAATTTGCATTTTTTTGTATAAATTTGTTCTAATATAAATATCTGAGCAAACCTCCTTCTTTAGTACATTCAACTATGAACAAAAAAATTTCAATTTAGGCTATCCAAACTATTTTCAAGGAAAAGAGGGATTCAAAACAGTTAAAACGAATTAAATATAAAAGATACATTCAAAGTTATATAAGAGATATATATAACTGCATCTACACATTATGTTATATTTTATTGATATCTAGTGGTGATATCATCCACCGACAAGACAAAAAAAAACTTATAAATGCAAAATGATTAAAAAAATAAAGGAACTTTATGAAGAATATGACAAAATTTCCACGTAATAACTGGATTTTTCTCCAACTGAATGCGTGAAATTGTATTCCAAAATATCGATGAAGATTTTTCTTTATGAGTACCAACAATAATCATTCGAACATGCTTTTGTTTTAAAGGAACTTCATTTTTATTCAAAGCTTTATGTATCGCAATTATCTATAAAAAACCTTTTCTTGATCAGAACCTCTTTTTTTCTGGGACCTCTTAATTTAGATAAAACTAGAAACTTTATAATTTTAGAAGATATACATGGCAAAAGAATTTAAAAGAATGTTAAAAGTTTTAACTGTGACACATGATTTGACTTTATGAGAAAGCCCCTAAGAAAAAATTTTTAGATTCAACCTGTTCTTTAATAAATGCTTCCCTCTGTGCAGCCATTAATGACGGTTTTCTTGACGTCATTGAATACCATCAAACTATTGTTCACCTTTGAATCTTAAAAAGAAAAATATATATAAAGAAATGAAGAATGAAATTGAGCATCTAAATTCATCGAACCAAACAAGTTTTAACAAAAAACTAAAAATTTAATAAATAAAGATTAAATATTAAACATTCAGAAAATTCTAAATATTAAACCATTAAATATTGGTAATTTTTTATAATAAAGATTAAATATTTATTTGTATTTTTTTAATTTGTGGTTTACATTTCTGGTTAATAAATATTTTTATATAGTGTTGTGGTTAAAGGCAAGCCATTGATATGGAATATAACGTTTTGGTTCGAATCGTAGCCAAAACCTTTACCTTTCCTTGGGAAGAGCCTCTTAATGCTTATCTGACTTATCTCAAATATGAAAGCGTTGCATAATATAGCTTAGAGTATTGATCTGGAAATCGCCCAGATTATCAAGGTCCGCATCAGATGTTGAGGACTATCTGATAAGTGGACTGTTGGAATAGCACCAAGGAACCAGAGCAATCTGGTGTTAAAAGGGCCACTGGAATAAAGCTTTGAAAGAGATAAGATGATCTGGAATTGATAGAATGCAACTATAATAGTAATGAAAGGGGTTATATGAAAAGGGTTGTATGAAGTAACTGTGGATGGAAAAATTTGCATTCGCAAATGAAGCAGCTAGTGACTCAACGTTTCAACACAGGAAAAAGCTATTCTCTCAGCTGCACATGGATCAGTTTTGCACACATCCCAAACCCAGAATGTTTTTCCGAAAGAAGAGGAAAGAATAAACGTGCACACAACAAGCTAAAAAGCTGGGAAATTGCCTTCTAGCATCAAAGTAGAACAGTTTATATTGAGGCAAAAAACCATGAATGGACTCCATGAATGTTTTAACCCATCAAGACCGATCGAAGCCCAGTGAAGCACTACCAGATAATATATTTCATATGCAAATATGGTCCTAGCAACAAATCCTACTGCCACTATTATAAAACTAGTGAATTGGTGAACGCCACAGCGACGGCAATTCTGGAAATGGAGGGGAAATAAAATCAAAAAGAATAATAATGCGTTTCACACTTGAAAAAAAAAGGTTAGAAAATAAATCAGAGCATAATGCAAAGATGAGAGTCAGTTATTAGCTTGACTGACTTCACTCTTATGATGATGATATCCCTTCATCGAAGATGCACTTAGAAATTTCATTTTTTATAAGAGTGATCAATTCGGGTGCAGAGGTTATATTCCTTACCATTACTGGTTGAACTCGCTCCGCTGGCTTGTCGCACTGGACAAATATGGCAGGGATATCCTTCAGCGATATAAATACAGGTGAGTCACCGGCATTACCAGGATTTTTAGACAGGCCTACTCCTGCGGGGAATAGAACTTCAGCATTGGCCCTCCGAATTGAATATCTGCTCAGCATATGGTTTAGGCCCTCTCAAAATTAGAAGGTATATTCCTCCGAATTGAGTAATAACCCACTGAGCCATTCTATTCCCGATGGCTGCATATATCAGAGTGATATCTTACTGTCTCCCTAATATTCTGCATAAGTCAAGGCCCCCGAAATCACGAGAAATGTATATGGACACAAGTTTAAAAGCTGAACTATCATCCATCTTCTATACGTGGATGATACCAAATTATACTTATGTGCTAAAAGAGAAGAGACTGACTCGCTCATTAATTTAAAATAAATCAACAGCGAGGGCAATGAGATGCCATTCAGGTTAGAGAAATGTGGACGGATGATTGTAAAGACAGGAAAAGTAATGATGAGTGGTGGGGTGGACTTGCCATTAGGACATATAGCGGACATAAAGGCTATCGCCTTAAATGCCTCAGTGTTCCACAGTTACATGATATAATGACTATGAAAAGTAGCTGACACTGAGAAATCTTACCAGTGGTTGAAAAACACTAGTCTAAAAGGCAACAAGCATTGATCTGCATAATGATGCAAAATGCACCAGAAACGGTCCAACAAATGGTGCAAGAATATCTGCTCAGCATATGGTTTAGGCCCTCTCAAAATTAGAAGGTATATTCCTCAGAAAATTGCGAATAATAAAGCGAAGATTCTGCGGGACTGCTTCATCCATATAAACAAACAAGTGCTGACCAAGTAAGCAAGATATCATGGTAGTGGAAAAGAATCAGAAGCCAGCAATGATGATAGTAATACCAAGTGAGAAAAACATCAGAAGAAAGAAGGAAGTGATGTGGAAAGTGAAGACTAAAGCAATCCCAGTGATAATAGGAGCACTAGAGGCTGTGACCCCTGAAATGGAAGAGTGGCCCTTACAAGTCCTACGAACAACTCTCAGAGACCTCTACTATCCAGAAGAGCGCACTGTTAGGAACAGCCAAGATATTTCACAGAACCCTCAGTTCCCCCCTCTCCGCCCCTGGTAGACGACCCAAGGATGACAATGATTCTTACCACCCACAGGAAAGGGATAAAAGCATTTTTTAATGTGAAGATCACGACACCAAAAATGGTGAACATTAATATTTCAATGGTTTATTTCATATAAAGAAATAAGAAACCATATATAAAGTACCTATTCAGTGGTACCAGTAGGGTTTGAAAAGATTTATTTCATGGCAAAACTTTTTTTAATGGACCGATGGATATATAAATATTTAAAAAATGTTTTCCAAAATAAAGACAAAAACTTCCCACCAACCAAATGAAATAACAACACCTAAACAATGGGAAAAAGGCGATGACTAATACCCACGGAAAACCATGACCTATCGTAAACGAACAATCGTTGCAGAACCCATAATATTCTAACATTAACATTGTGAAATATCTTGTCTATATTGATATTACACGATATTCGGAAGTGCTGAGGAAGTGTGGCCGAGTATGTATGGCCTAGGTAATCTCTCGAGCCGCGTGGCTGGGACCACTCTTGATTGGAGTGAACCTGCCATGGAACCTACTTGTATTTATCTCTGATTGGAACCTCTCATCTTAATATGTCGGATTAAAATAGTACAAATCCAAGGTGATCTGTCCAAAAATGTGGGCGACTCACCTGTACTTCTATCGCCAAAGGATTCCCTGGCATATTTATCTTATTTATTTTGTACGACAAGCCAGCGGAGCGAGTCTAATCAGTAATGGTGAGGGCTTTTCAAAAAAAAAGTAACAAGCGCCATTATTGGCCATAAATCTCGATGTGGCGCCATATCTGAAAATTTCTTCATTTTCCACAGTCTTCAACTTAATTGAGCCGATTGGTCCGAAATCAATATCAATTTTTGACAGTGGCTTTTCGCTTTTGAGCCATACATCACATCACGCGATTCGTCATTTAGCGAAAGATGGATTGCAAAAAGTACACATAATTAGCATCTGAGACGCCCTATGGCGATACTTAAGCGGAATCCATCAACTCAGAGAAAGTATGCACCTTAGGCAGGAATGGTTGCTCATTTGGCTATAATGGAAATTATAAGGAAATTATAATTAAGAGAAAATTAAAAACTTATCTGGCAAATACAGTTTCCAGCCTGGAAGAATTAATTTTCTATCAACTGGTTTGAATTATTTTACGAAAGGATTCGACATTTTTGAAATAATAATATTTGCTTGCAATTCGAAGTTTCTTTTGAGATTCTCTTGAGCAAAATTCAAGAGAATTTTAATAATTTTGGTGATCGGTGGTGAAACTTCATCTTTTAAAATTTGTTTCTCCAAAATAATTGGAAATTTTTCCTTATAAAATTTTACCTACTTTAGAATGGACAAATTCTTAATGATGGATTATGGAGTGATTTAGATGAAAGAAGATAGAGATTATCCCATACACCTTGTATCTTGTGTCTTTGTAGTGAGTTTCAGTTGTTGAAATTCGATTCTTGAGCCTTTAAGCCTTTTGCAATTCCCTAATGTTTAATATTTGCTATGGAATATATTTTGGAAAATGCGGAAATTTGAGTAGGATTTTTTTAAAATCGTGCCAAATAGTAATTTTATTTTGTGAAATTGAAGAGGAATTGGAAGAGAACAAACTACAAATTGAAACGAAATAATTGAAAATTTATTTTATTTATCTATAAAATTCGACAAACTATTAGAAAGATTTATATGTTTTCGCGCTTTGCCAACGGAAACTTATCATTTCGATATCCCTTTACTCTTTACAATTTATTCGCTGAATATTTATTTCTAACAAATAAAATTTATGAGCCTTCTATGCAAAATTTTCTTGTCAACTTTCATTGAATTTTTCTATTTAAATATGCAAAGATAGTAATATTAGTAGTAGTAACAGTAGTTCGATAGCGTTCTGAGATTATTCAGATGTTTAAAATGCCAGTATATTCAATTTATGGAAATAAAGCTCCGCATATTATAACCCTTTTATGAGCGATTTGAAATTTTTATTGGAATTAATAAGATAAGGGAAAAGTGAACATATGAAGAAATTCCGGAAAAGATTTGTAGATCGGGCCACAACTCTATTTGGATTTCATTATAATAAGTGGTTTGGATTTCATTTACTCTCTCAGTAGACAAGATAAGGCTATAGAAAACAGGAAAAGCTCGAGGTGATAATAAATATGCCAAGGAGTCTATTGGTGATAGAAGTACAGGTGGTTGCCAACATTATCCGAACTTTTGGGCAGGTTTATTCCTGCGGGAAAAGTTTATATTGCTATTAAACTATCAACCATTTCCATTCAAACATATCAATATTCACAGAATTGTATTGCAATAAAAATGAAAAACTTTATTCTGGTTGTTAATTATTAATGTATTTGGTAATATTAAGTGATTAGCGCGAGTCGTTTCCGGTTCGTTCTACTAGTTTGTTGCCATGGTGAGAAACTTTTATCAGGAAAAAGTTATGAAGACCTTAACTCTAGCATTATCCAGAATTTTTAATGCTGGTTTTACACCTGGTTGAGTCCGAACGTTGTGGCAGTTATTTGGGCAATAACCGCTTGAATGTTTTTTGAGTTTAGATAATTTT